GACTTTGCCCAATGTCAGGCGACCATGGGAATGACGAATTATTGGAGCTTTGTTTGGGAGACTTCGTAACAGCATCCTGTTAGAATTATTTCTTGTCATGTATGGGACAATAAAACAAATCAAATAAAATAATGGGGGAGTCCATGGGGACACCCCACCCCCTCTTGTTTGAGAACTTGTAAACAGTCAAGATCCCCACCCCTAAACCATATATATTCATGTATGGGACAATATAACAAATCAAATGAAATATAGGGGGAGTCCCTGGGGTCACCCCACCCCTCCTGTTTGATAACTTGTAAGCGGTCGAGATACCCACACCTAAACCATATTTATTCCTGTTCATCATTTCAAAAAGATTTGAATGACATACAGGGTCAATCTCCTAGGTGTCACATATGCATATCACTTTACTAGACCAAACCAATATGAACTGGACTTTGCCAACGGTCAGGAGACCATGGGAATGACGAATTATGGGGGCTTTTTTTGGGAGACTTCGTAACGGCATCCTGTTACAATCATTTCTTGTTTATTATAAAATTTTATTGATGCAAAAAATGAGTCTAGGTTAATTGAATTTCTTTAATTATTTATAAAATTATTTCTGGGCCTATAATAATTTTCATTTATGGCTCATTTTAAAGAAAACATATAAATTTTTCAAGCAGTGTAAAGCCCGAGAATGTTTGACCAACTGTTTTAAAATCACCTGTCATTTTATTCCAAACTTGGTATGGAGTAACATCATGCATATGGGGGTGAAGATGGGGGTCATTTACATTGATATATGAGTTGCTTTTGAAAACCTTGATGAAATATTAATTGATTTGCCTTAATAATCAATTCATTTAATGAACATAAATGTACAATATACGAATTTTTAATGTTTGTTCTTTCAAATCTTTAAAAAAAAATTGAAGCAACACTGCCACAGTTTTCATAATTACGTTTGCCTTTGTTTTTGGTTAACTGCCTACAGCGCTTACAGTGCTTTGATTATTATGTGTCTCTGATTTCACCTTAACTCTTAATAAAGAAAATAAGAAAAATGTCATTTCTTAAACTTTTATGGTCCAGCTATTACACTTAATGATAGTACAGTTGGATTTTATTTCATCGCAATGCTTAACAAAGTACCAATAGGGAAGAAACAAAAATTTAAAGGACAGTCTAGTTTGCAAATTATTAAATTAAATTACATTTTGATTGGTTAAACTTTTATATAATTATCACAGAGCCACAGCCCTTTTTCAGTCACATAGACTCTAATTAATATATCTATAGTGGTATGTTGTTATACTATCCCACAACTGCAATTTGATTCCCATCTATGTAGATTAAACATTAAAGACTTGTTATGTAGAACATTTTTTTGTGTGAACTACATGAAACTGAAAATATTTTTAACATTCATAGGATTTAAAGCTCCAAACTCAGTCTCACACAGTCCTGAAAAAAAGTTGCACTGACCAGAGATGTGAAATGCATACATCTTAAAAGAACTGACAGAAATAGATCAATAAGTATAAATGAATCTCCCTTTCTAAAATCAAATACATACATATATCTGTGATTCTGTAGAGGATCGAAAAAGTTGAGGGGAAAGTAGTATACATTTTATTTTTATGTCTTAAAGGGGAACTAGCTACGAGATATATAAAAAATCTAATATATGATTTTTTTTGTTCAATCATTAATGAAAGTGAAATAGTGAAATAATTACTGTGGATTCATTTATTTTCGTGGGTATCAATTTTCGTGGATAGAGAAAAAAAGACATTTCGTGGTATACGTAAATTCGTGGATCGCTGATTACAAAAAAAAAAAAAAAATCAGATACGTAATTCGTTGATTTCTTTTTGATTTAGGAGATCATATAACCTCCTTGGTTTGATCAATAATAAAACAAACAAAAAAGAAGGAATTCATTGAAAAAGTTTTGAATTGTCAAAATCCTCGCTTGGTCATTCTAGGTTAAAGTGTTCATTGAAAACTTCTATTACAATAATGGACGGAGACAACTAATTATTTGTTTGTTTTACAATTTATAAATTGTTGTCGGAATTTTATAAGGCATTCATAAACTCTATGATTGGAAGCTCATTTCCCTAATCACGATATAATAAACAGTCATATAATTAGTAAAAGGTGTGAAAATAAATGTTCCTGTCATAAACAATATTACCTACGGGCAATATCCTCGTACTTAATCCTATTGAGTTTTAATCACCAGTAAACCAAACTATGACACGGTAATTAACAACTTGCAGTTATTTTCCATGAACAGTTTTAATCAATTTTAAAAAGTAAATTATCAGTGATATTCGATATATTTATTATTGATTTAATCAAAATACTTGTATCTTCTTTCATTAAAAACACATGTTATGTTACAATGTTTATCGCTAGTCAACACTATACTAGAACTGCATAACATAACCGGAAATAAACGTCCAACTCCATACACATTTCTCGGGATTATTCTTCGTTGAATTCTTAAATTCGTGGTTCGCTGTGACCCACGAATTTAAGAATTCAACGAAGAATAATCCCGAGAAATGTGTATGGAGTTGGACGTTTATTTCCGGTTATGTTATGCAGTTTGCTGTGACCCACGAAACCCACGAAAATTGGTATACCACGAATAAAAATGAATCCACAGTATTCGCTTTTGCTGCCAGTATGGTTCAATTTTGTCAAAATAAGCTAAGAAACATTGATGATGAATTATTCACTTGCAAGTGAATAATTCGACCTCATTGAATCCGTATTCATGTGAACTTCAATTGTATGTGTAAAGTTATTTAAATGAAAAGAATGTCAACTTTGAAAGTGAAACAATGGTAAATCATTTGATTGACTGATCCGATCCACTAAAAATCATTCTTATACAGGTAAAAATGATGATAAACATATATTTTTAATCTATAATATGAAATTAAATAGACCTAGAAAAATCCAATAGCATGAATTCGCTTAATCTATTTATATCTTTATTTATGTTTACATCGCTTAATTTTATGGTCATCGGATGACTTTGGAGATCAACTCGATAGTTAATTAGATGGCGTCTAGACTAAAATACACACGAAACGAAGCTACGTGTTATCATGCCCATGTCCTGTTAACTGTCCTGTTAACTGTTTATTTTAGACTTTTAATAGTTTGGACAAATGTTTTGCATTGTTATAAATCAAATATGAGAATTTGAGTCAAATCGGTGAACATGAATTTGACAGCTAGTGTCCCTTTAATGCATGTCGTCATCATACTTTTCAGCAATCAGATATACAAAACTGTGGGATGTTTATGTTTCTTCATGGTGTTATCAGATAAAAAAAATGTGGGAAATTGTATTCCTATGTTAAACAATAAATACAGTGAAAAACGGAATAGATTTCTGCGCACAGGCTCATGTAAGAAAACTGAAAATTGAAAGATTTTGGATTCCTTGTATATTGATTTTCTACTGTTTCAAAGACAGGGTCCTCAATTATATTTTAGATTTTGAATCACTATTTGACTAGCTTGACAGTTATGGCAAAGAAATAGCCTAATCTGATTGAAATAAAGATCCTGTCTCCACCCATCGCTTATATTCAGGATCTGACAACACTCCTTCCTACTTTCTGTTCTGATAAATTTTATATCAGCCAATAAAATTACTACAGGTGTAATACCACCAAATCATAGTACGTCACATCCGGTTGCATAAGAAAATAGGTCGAAAAAAAATATTCCCTTGAATTTGACAGTTGTAGGTAATTGATCCTACATTTCATTGAAGTAAAACATTTCTGAGTCATAAACATATATCTTGGGTATTTCAAAGCACCATTATTTCTTTATTTGGGGTTTCTATAGAATATTTTGGAAACTTGAGGTTACATGGTTACTAAAGCTTGTACACAGGTTAAAAAAGGGGGAAAATTTGATTGGTTAACTTCCAGTGATGGTTATTTTCTTATATGCAATGAAATGTTATGTGAAATTTTTTCCATACTACTGGACAGGATAAAACTTTACTCATGCCAAGTATTTCTTTATTTGAAACAAAGATAAATTCTGCACAATTTTTTGAAAAGTGCAAATTTAACAAAGACTAATAGGGGGAAATCAATGGTGGTATTACACCTACACATGTAAAATATTCAGTGTTAATCAGTGATACACTACCAAGTCAAAATCATGATAATGATTTCAGTAAAACTGTTTAAGATGATTTTAGTCCTACCAAGAAAAGACATTCATTCCCTTATAAGGGGTCTCAAAGTGGGCAGATACATTGCATGAAATAATTATTAAAACCTGTCACCATTAACAGAACAAAACATGGATCTTTTTAAAAAAAAAATCTTTGGTTTCTGAAGCTCAGTGCTTTAAAAATTTATTTCCTGCAATCCTCAGAAAGTTAATTTGGTCATGGGAAAGTGCAAATCTGACTCTTCTTATAAAGGGCCTTACCCTGTTGACGCACTTCGTGTCACTCCTTTTAAAGTTAATGTCATTCCCTCAGTTTTGTTTATTACCTTGATATGTCTTTTTAATCAATTTATGAGATTTGAACTTCGGTAAACTACTGTTGCCTATATTCTTCTCTATATGTAATTGAAAGTCGATAACAGAAAATGTTCTTGTTTAAAATGAGATTTTTCTTTGCATTTAAGTATACTTATGAGTTTGTTGTTTCCTTCAAATGTAATACAAAAATCAACTTTCCCTCCTGTGTCACAATTTGTCTTCAAAAACTTTAAATAAGCTCTGGAACTCTTGATTTTTTTTTTTTTTTTGACAAAGAAAGGTAATTCCTATACTATGCTTGAAATCAGCAGATCGAAGTATATTTACAATAAGCATGACAAGTAAAAATGAGATAATAAACACTAACAAAAACAAAATGAAAGTCATGAAGTAAATTTCTGGAAAAGGACCTTTTCTTTGTGTGCTTTCAAGCACTTTGATTATAAGTTACATTACAGTGTTCCCTCATTTTACAGAATTAACCATGGCATTGAACAAGTTCATGCATCCAAGGAACAAGTACAAAAACAAGAAGGCAAATTTCCAGTACCTTGCCATCAAATATCCCGAATTTAGGAAACATGTTTATCCAGATGTAAGTGGGAAGCTTTTTCTTGACTTCAGAAATCCTGATTCTTTAAGGCAGCTTTCCACCACACTAATGAAAGAAGACTTTGGATTGGATGTTGTGTTGCCTCCTGATAGACTGGTACCCACCATTCCTTTGAGGCTTAATTATATCTTATGGATAGAAGATATTTTGAAAGATTCCAGTGTGGAGGGAGACATTTCAGGAATAGATGTTGGTAATATTAAGCATATTATAATTTACTAGAATCATAAGAATCAAATTGTTGGTAAGAATCTGAAAAAAAGATTCTCTTTGGGTTCATTTTCTTTTAAATGCCAGAATTGGTTTGTCCAAAATGATAATAAAAATAATGAAAAGACATCCAGAGGGCAAATTAATAGTCTTCAACAATAAACAAAAGTTTTTCAAAACTGCAGATGTCTACACTCTAACCATGATAACTTGACAAGCTTTAAAATGTTTGAATTCAAAAACAAAAAAAGTAGTGAATATATTAAAGAGAAAAAAATTCAAGATCTGCCTTCATTAACAAATTCTCTAAATAAGAAAGAAGATATGACTGATTTAAGATAACAACTGTCAATGTTCCTGACTAGGGACAGGCACTTCTGTATGATTATGTGGCTGGATTAACTTAAAATAATTTTATGAGAGGTCAACACTCTCCATTTCAAATCTCGATCTATGGATTAACAAAACATACATTAAACAAATGTTAAAGAACATACAATGAAAATCAGTCAAGGAAAATCGTCCAACACTAAAATAACAGTGTTATGGATAACAAATGAAATAATAAATAAATCATATCTTTATAAAAAATTCTCAAAGTTCTTATCCTGCTGATAAGAAAGCATGCTGTCCTACACTTGAACATAGTTTAGTAAATTATTAACAGGATTTTAATAGTTGATACATTGGTCCATTAAATATTTGCATCTAAGAAGCTAGTCAACATCTTTCTGTATACTATGTTAGCTGCTTCTGTAGTTATTGTTCATGGATTGCTCAATTCAGGATATGAATATTATAGTATGATAGAGCTCTAGACATTAAATGAAAATTTAGCTTTACATATTTTTTGGAAGGAATTTAAGTATAATGTATACAAGATGAAACCCGACCTATCTATTGATTGCAGATGTCAATATTAATTACAATGCTTGAGCAAACATTTATACAAACAAAACAAGCAAGCTAAAATGTAACCAAACCTTTAAACTACAAGCATTAGGAAAATAGCTCTAGTAGCAAGAAAAGGTTATATTCTGATTTTTTTTTTAACAGGAACAGGAGGAAGTTGTGTATATCCCCTTCTCTCTGCTAGGATGAATAAATGGAGATTTCTTGCTACTGAACTTGATGATACTAATTTCACATGTGCTGTGAAAAATGTGGAAAGAAACCAGATGACTAATTTAATACAAGGTAAAAATAGTTTTAATATTATTGTGGATTCATTGTTTACCCACCATGGGGCATGTGTGAGCTATTACCATCGCTTTGGGTCCTTTGTCTGTTAAATTTTACCTAAATATCCTCTAATACTATCTTAAACTATCTAAATTCACAAATTGATCTGATGATCCCGATACAGACCTACATGGTTGCTATGGTTAAAAAAGAACATGCATCGCCATGTAGGGGTTTAAAAGCAAGTATTTTCTTATACATTGTATCTGGATCATCATTATAGATAGAGAAAATCTGACTAGTCTCTCATGTTCAGAATTTTGATAACACTAATATAAAAACAAGGAGATGTGGTATGATTGCTACAATAAATGAAACAACTATCCACCAGAGTTCAAATGATGAAGATATATGCAATTATAGGTCACCATAAGGCCTTTATCAATGAGGAGAACCCATACAGTCAGCTATAAAAAGACCCCAACATGAAAAATGTGACACAATCCAAACAAGAAAACTAACAGCCTTATTGGTATTTTACTAAAAACAAATATGACAGACATAAACCAACAACAACCACTGACTTAATGTCTATTTTGACAAAAACTATAAAACGACCAGGAGTTATTGAACTTAAATGAAGTTCTTTATAAATATTTTGATATTTAGCTATAAACTTGAAAGTATAATAGTCTAGACAGAGAGAAACTGTAAACAGCAAAAACAATCAGCAAGATAAGAACTAAAAATAAAAGTAAAATATGGCAGAAATTGTCAGTCGACCTCTTACATGCCTTATAGGAGTTATTGCCATGAGTCAATAAAACCATTTAAAAGCCAGAGTGTTGCATAGTTTTACCAACTGAAAAAAAAATTAAAGGCCTATCTTTTCAATTTATATTATTTTTTCCAGTGTAATATATATAACCACCACTTTTACTAGTTGATCTAAAAGGAATTAAAGTTGCTACTGGTACTTACATGGTTATCACCAGCCCAGTAGGCAGTATTTCGGTACTGACATGAAAATATGATATATTGTTTGATTAAATTTTGTTGTTAGAAAATTTTTGAAATTATTTTAAATTGAAGAATATATCTCCCTCATGCAAAAGCTCTGATTCCTTGGCCAAATTTGGCTATATTTTAGGTCCTTTTTAGTTTGATCTGCTCTTCAACATTTGTATTAGCAGATTAGATTTTAGGTGTCAAATATTTTGGCCTCGAGCATCTCTGAAGAGACATTTTAAAATTGTCGAAATGTGCATCTGGTGCAGTTAAATTGGTACTGTTTATATTATTATTGCTATATTGAATTAATGAGTACTAATCATTTAATACAAAACATTTTTTTTTTTGTAGTTCAAAAGGTTGAAAAAAGTGCTGTCCTTCTAGATGTTTTAAAGGTCAGTGCTGCCACCTATACCTTCTGCATGTGTAACCCACCATTCTTTATGGACAATCTGGAGGCACAGGGTATCACAAATACCCGATCAGATGACCGACCAGAACCCCATTCTGTGTGTACAGCAAGCCCAACAGAAAGTGTGGCATTTGGAGGAGAAGTGGAGTTCGTTAAGAAGATGATTCATGAATCCTTGGAGCTTAAAACAAAAGTCAGGTAATATATTGTTACAATCTAGCATCTATTTTAAATAAACAAACTCCAACTAGTTAAAATATTTGTAAGTGATAAACAGTTCAGTATAATTTACGATCAATTTCAATCCTTTTATTTTTTGTGAAAAGAGTCATTGACCTCTTTTAGCAAGAAGTTATCTGAAAACCAAAATGTGAGTTCACAGATTCTCCTCTGTCTTTTATTTATTGATTGGGTGGGAGCATAATTTATTTGATTTGTTTTAAAATTAGAACCATCTGTTTTTATGAATAATCTCATAAAATTAAGGGAGCGAGGAAAGCAATTATGTACATGTATTAAACTTTTTTATATAATTTGTTTTTTGTTACTTTTCGTTTATAGAGTATATACCAGTATGGTTGGTAAGAAAACAAGTTTGTCTCCCCTGAAAGAAGAACTCAGAAAGTTAAAGGTAAGTAAATATGTATGGTATGGTAGAGAGGAGAAGAGAATCCTTTATATTTATTACGAATGTATACAGTGGCAGGTCTAGAAATTTTCATAAGAGGGGCCCACTGACTGCCTAAGAGGGGGCCCGCTCCAGTCATGCTTCAGTGATTCACTATATAATCCACCAAATTTTTCCCACAAAAAGGGGGGCCTGGGCACCATGCAACAAACAGTTTGCCTCAACAAAATGTTATAAAACTTATACACAATGCTTATTACCACAAAACACAGAACAAGTTCGAATTTGGTGGCGTCACTTTTACCGTTTATGAGTTATGTCCCTTTATAGACATGTAGAAATATATGTCATTAACTTTGAAAGAAAAGAAAATGTCAATAATTGGTACATTGACTCATGCATATTTACAAGCAGTGGGCATCTGTTGCCCATAGACACATTCTCCATTTATTTTTTGTATTTCCCATTCATTCCCATTTAGTAATTAAACTTTTCTTTAACAGTTGTTTAATGATTTGTAGTATTTAATTTGATCTTTACGAATCAGTTATTACTATATACCTTCTCGTGCATGTTTGTTTACATTCTTTCATCACGATTTTCCCCTCTCTCTTGCCCTGTGAAGTGACCAAAGTTCTAACAAGAGGTTTCATACATATCGGAAAATTAATGTATGGGGAAGATAATAATTCAATAGCAGTATACATTTATGAAGCTTTTGATACTATAAAGGATTTTCTTTCACAAGAAATTTTACCTACACTTGTTTTATAGTAAAACTTCATTTAAAGATATATAATCGTATTCAATTTTTTTTTTTTAATTTGAAGTTTCATATGACTAAGGTTATGCATTAAAAGAGAAATCAACATTTTTTGTCAAAAATAATCTAGTGCTTTTTATTAAGCCACAAGATAACAAGGTTACTGCCAAGTTTACAAAACTGATACCAGTCCTTAACATAGCTGCAAATTGGACAGAAATCTACAAAGTTTTACAATTATACTTTTAACTGTATAAAGCTTCCAAACCAAATCTAAGCAGCCTTTTGTGTGAAAAATTTGGTTGATTATTTAGGGAATCACTGAAGCATGACTAGAGTGGGCCCTCTCTTGGGCAGTCAATGACCTCCCCCCCCCCCCCCCCCCTTACTTATGAAAATTTCTGAATCCGCCACTGGTAGACCTTTGTATCATGTTTGACTGCATTATAAAAGGAAATGAAAGAATTACCAAATCTTCTACAAGTATACCTGTATGTCAAGATACAGGATTGAATTGCAAATCCTATACCAATTTATATTTTATTGAAAAAATTGTTCTTTTTTTCTGTCTTTGTAGATTTTAAATTTCTCTACAACAGAATTTTGTCAGGGAAAGACAATGAGATGGGGACTCGGCTGGTCATTTGATGAAACTATTAAATTTCCTGTAAGTATTGTATTATTGTTAAACCTGGAATGTGTTTTCAGTTTCATTAAGTAAAAAAATCTTGTGATAAGTCATAAATGTGGTAAGAGAACAGTTTTTGGACAAATTGAACAAACAACTTGTCATCTGTAACACAGATATTCAATGGCTGTAAACCAAATCTGTAAACCAAATCATTATCATAGACTTCAATTTTACCATTAAGCCCTTTTATGATTAGAAACTTATTTGAACTAATTTCTTTTAGCATTGACATTCTGATTCCAATTTAACTTTGTTTTGATCAAGCAAATTAAAAAGAATAATACTGTAATGGATCTACTTGTCTCGCGCATGTTTGTCTCTGTTTGGAAAGAACTTAATTGTGGTCCTGTTGACAAATTTAGTTGAGTTATCTCCCATTGTCCACTATCAAGTCATTTACATTTACCACAGTGACCAGTCACATATTTCTATAAAAAGGTGAAAAAGAGATGGGTATGATTTTGAAAATCAAGGGAAACTCTTCTGATAGAATAACAAACCATTTTGTAATTTCTTTTATTTGAAATTATTGAATAATTAATATATAGAAGTGTTGAAACAAAATGATTGACCTGAAATACAGAGTTTAAGTAATAAAAAATAGTGACTAATGCATATATATATACCACTGCAGTTGAGTGAGCATTAGGTGTTACCCCTATGTGTATGTCCTTTAGTATTATGTCTGTATGTCACAAAATTATTTTCCGTTCTCTAACTGTACCTTGCCACAACCAAATGTTATGAAACATATACACAATGCTTATTACCACCAAACACAGATCAAGTTTAAATATGGGTGGTGTCACTTTTGCTGTTCTCAAATTATGTCCCTTTATAAATGGAAAAAAATGGTAAACTTGCAGTTTCAGCACTCTAACTTTATTTTGCCACAACCAAATATTCTGAAAATTATACACAATGCTTATTACCACCAAACACAAATAAAGGTTGAATATGGTAGAGTCACCTTTATCATTCTCAAGTTATGTCCCTTTATAAATGGAAAAATGAGATAATACAAACTCCGATCAATCACTAAGGACAACATACAGAAAGGAATGTCATTAAGTTTCAAAGAAAACAAAAAGTTATAGATAAGGTTTGAATTATTACATTGACTCATGCATATTTACAAGTGGGAGCATGTGTGTCCCACAGACACCTTTTTTAATTTTTTTTTATGGTATTTTAAATTTTCAATTTATTTCATTGTTAAGTATTTTAAATTCTTCCCTTTCCAACAATTTTAACAGTACAGTCTGCATCAAGTTTGTAAAACCATTATTTCCCTTTTTTCTTCAATGTCTGATCACTGGGTCAATCTTCAGTTGTTATCATTGCTCTCCAATCTACAGCCATGTTGATGAGATTTAATAAGGCATCAATGACATTATCAATAACAAGGAACTGCAAGTTGTTAATTCATATGTGTACCTTGGTATATTATTACATTACAACGGAAAGTTTTTACATACTCAAAAACGTTTAGCACAACAAGGATCTAGAGCCATGTCATCTCTAATGAATTCTCTCAAACAATTCTTTATCACTCCAGAAGAACAGATGTTTCTTTTCGACAGTATGGTCGGATCCGTCTTAGGCTATGCATCAGAAATATGGGGTTTCCATCGTGCTAAAGATATCGAACTTATCCATAACCGTTTTTATACGACCGCAAAAAAATTTTGTGGTCGTATATTGGTATGACGTTGGCGTCGTCGTCGTCGTCCGGCGTCGTCGTCCGAATACACATTGGTTTTCGCACTCTAACTTTAGTTTAAGTGAATGGATCTTTTTGAAATTTGACCATAAGGTTAAATACCACAAAAGGAAGGTTGGGATTGATTTTGGGGGTTATGGTACCAACAGTTAAGGAATTAGGGGCCAAAAAGGGGCCAAAAATGAGCATTTTCTAGTTTCCAGACAATAACTGTGGAACGGTGTATGGATCTCTCTGAAATTATACTACAAGTTTCCATACCACAAAGAGATGGTTAGGATTTGCTTTGGGGGGTTATGGCTCAAACCGTTTAGGAATTAGGGGCAAAAAAGGGGGAAAAACAAGGTTGTCCTGGTTAATGGACAAATACTTTAGTACAAAACATAATTTAAAGCAGTGTAAGGGAGATAAATCAAATACATCATTGAAATTATCTCCCTTACACTGCTTTTAAATTATGTATAAAGTAATGGTTAATGAACAATAAAGATAATCTAAAACAGTGTAAGTCAAATATTGAAAAATTTCAAGAAGTAATCTTGAATTGCACAGTATGGCGCATTAGATTTGTAAAATCTTTGATCACATTTATTTATTTGTTATGCCGAATCTAACAGTGTATTTAGATTTTTAATTTTTTGTCCAGTTTTCAAATTGGTCTACATTAAGGTCCAAAGGGTCCAAAATTAAACTTTGTTTGATTTTAGCAAAAATTGAATATATGAGGTTCTTTGATATGCTGAATCTAAACATGTATTTAGATTTTTGATTTTTGGCCCAGTTTTCAAGTTGGTCCAAATTTGGGTCCAAAATTAAACTTTGTTTGATTTCAACAAAAATTGAATATATGGGGTTCTTTGATATGCTGAATCTAACCATGTATTTAGATTTTTTATTTGTGGACCCCGTTATCAAATTGGTTCATATTGAGGTCAAAAGGGTCCAAAATTAAACTTTGTTTGATTTCATCTAAAATTGAATTATTGGGGTTCTTTGATATTCCAAATCTAACCGTGTATTTAGATTTTTAATTTTGGGTCCCGTTTTTTAAATTGGTCTACATTAAGGTCCAAAGGGTCCAAAATTAAACTTAGTTTGATTTTAACAAAAATTGAATTCTTGGGGTTCTTTGATATGCTGAATCTAAACATGTATTTAGATTTTTGATTATGGGCCCAGTTTTCAAGTTGGTCCAAGATAGGGTCCAGTATTTAAACTTTGTTTGATTTCAACAAAAATTGAATATATGGGGTTCTTTGATATACTGAATCTAAACATGTATTTAGATTTTTATACGACCGCAAAAAATTTTTTGTGGTCGTATATTGGTATGACGTTGGCGTCGTCGTCGTCGTCGTCGTCGTCTGGCGTCGTCCGAAGACACATTGGTTTTCGCACTCTAACTTTAGTTTAAGTGAATGGATCTTTATGAAATTTTACCACAAGGTTCAATACCACAAAAGGAAGGTTGGGATTGATTTTGGGGGTTATGGTAATAACAGTAAAGGAATTAGGGGCCAAAAAAGGGCCAAAAATAAGCATTTTTGTAACTTCCAGACATAACTTGTGTGTTAGTGTATGGATCTCTTTGACATTGTACCACAAGGTTCCATATCACTAAAGGAATGCTGGGATTGATTTTGGGGGTAATTGCCTCCAAATTTTAGGAATTAGGGGCCAAAAAAGGGGCAAAAAACAAGCATTTTTCTAGTTTCATGACAATAACTTGTGTGTAAGTGTATGGATCTTTCTGAAATTGTACTACAAGGTTCCATATCACAAAGGGAAAGCTGGGTTTGAGTTTGGGGGTAATTGCCCTAAACGTTTAGGAATTTGGGGCCAAAAAGGGGCCAAAAAACACATTTTTTTCTAGTTTCCAGACAATAACTTGTGTTCAAGTGTATGGATCTCTCTGAAATTGTACTGCAAGGTACCATACCACAAAGGGAAGGCTGGGATTGAGTTTGGGGGTGATGAATCATAATGGGGGTTCAAAAAATTTTGGGGGGGGATTTATTTTTTTTTCCTTTTTTTTCTTTTTTTCCTTTTTTGTTTCTTTTAAAATTTTCCATTTTAAGTTGGTTATTTCTGATTTATATTTAAAATCAAATAATAATGATATGGTAGGAGATACACACCAAACAGGATGTGTAAATTATTATATAATAAGTATTGTGCAATAGCAAGAAATTTTCAATTGCACAGTATTGCACAATAGCAAGAAATCTTCAATTGCACAGTATTGCGCAATAGCAAGAAATCTTCAATTGCACAGTATTGCGCAAAAGCAAGAAATATCCAATAGCACAATATTGCGCAATAGCAAGAAATTGTCAATTGTACAGTATTGCGCAATAGCAAGAAATATTTAATAGCACAGGATTGTGCAAAAGAAGATACTTCCTATAAATTGCTTATTTCTTGACCAATTTCAATGGGGTTTTATTCTTGATTTCATGGGGTTCTTTAATATGCTGAATCTAACCGTGTATTTAGTTTTACGTTTAGGAATTTGGGGCCAAAAAGGGGCCAAAAAACACATTTTTTTCTAGTTTCCAGACAATAACTTGTGTTCAAGTGTACGGATCTCTCTGAAATTGTACTGCAAGGTACCATACCACAAAGGGAAGGCTGGGATTGAGTTTGGGGGTGATGAATCATAATGGGGGTTCAAAAAATTTTGGGGGGGGATTTATTTTTTTTCCTTTTTTTTCTTTTTTTCCTTTTTTGTTTCTTTTAAAATTTTCCATTTTAAGTTGGTTATTTCTGATTTATATTTAAAATCAAATAATAATGATATGGTAGGAGATACACACCAAACAGGATGTGTAAATTATTATATAATAAGTATTGTGCAATAGCAAGAAATTTTCAATTGCACAGTATTGCACAATAGCAAGAAATCTTCAATTGCACAGTATTGCGCAATAGCAAGAAATCTTCAATTGCACAGTATTGCGCAATAGCAAGAAATATCCAATAGCACAATATTGCACAATAGCAAGAAATTGTCAATTGTACAGTATTGCGCAATAGCAAGAAATATTTAATAGCACAGGATTGTGCAAAAGAAGATACTTCCTATAAATTGCTTATTTCTTGACCAATTTCAATGGGGTTTTATTCTTGATTTCATGGGGTTCTTTAATATGCTGAATCTAACCGTGTATTTAGTTTTTGGATTTTGGGCCCCGTTTTTAAATTGGTCCACATTGAGGTCCAAAGGGTCCAAAATTAAACTTTGTTTGATTTCATCAAAAATTGAATTATTGGGGTTCTTTGATATGCCGAATCTAACTGTGTATTTAGATTCTTAAATTTTGGTTCCGTTTTCAAATTGGTCTACATTAAGGTCCAAAGGGTCCAAAATTAAACTTAGTTTGATTTTAACAAAAATTGAATTCTTAGGGTTCTTTGATATGCTGAATCTAAACATGTATTTAGATTTTTGATTATGGGCCCAGTTTTCAAGTTGGTCCAAATCAGGGTCCAAAATTAAACTTTGTTTGATTTCAACAAAAATTGAATATATGGGGTTCTTTGATATGCTGAATCTAACCATGTATTTAGATTTTTGATTTTTGTGCCCTGTTATCAACTTTGTCCACATTGAGGTCAAAAGGGTCCAAAATTAAACTTTGTTTGATTTCATCAAAAATTGAATTATTGGGGTTCTTTGATATGCCGAATCTAACCGTTTATTTAGATTCTTAATTTTTGGTTCCGTTTTCAAATTGGTCTACATTAAGGTCCAAAGGGTCCAAAATTAAACTTAGTTTGATTTTAACAAAAATTGAATTCTTAGGGTTCTTTGATATGCTGAATCTAAACATGTATTTAGATTTTTGATTATGGGCCCAGTTTTCAAGTTGGTCCAAATCGGGGTCCAAAATTAAACTTTGTTTGATTTCAACAAAAATTGAATATATGGGGTTCTTTGATATGCTGAATCTAACCATGTATTTAGATTTTTGATTTTTGTGCCCCGTTATCAACTTTGTCCACATTGAGGTCAAAAGGGTCCAAAATTAAACTTTGTTTGATTTCATCAAAAATTGAATTATTGGGGTTCTTTGATATGCCGAATCTAACCGTGTATTTAGATTCTTAATTTTTGGTTCCGTTTTCAAATTGGTCTACATTAAGGTCCAAAGGGTCCAAAATTAAACTTAGTTTGATTTTAACAAAAATTGAATTCTTAGGGTTCTTTGATATGCTGAATCTAAACATGTATTTAGATTTTTGATTATGGGCCCAGTTTTCAAGTTGGTCCAAATCGGGGTCCAAAATTAAACTTTGTTTGATTTCAACAAAAATTGAATATATGGGGTTCTTTGATATGCTGAATCTAACCATGTATTTAGATTTTTGATTTTTGGGCCCCGTTATCAACTTTGTCCACATTGAGGTCAAAAGGGTCCAAAATTAAACTTTGTTTGATTTCATCAAAAATTGAATTCTTGGGGTTCTTTGATATGCTGAATCTAACCATGTATTTAGATTTTGGATATTGGACCATAATAGGTGAATGTCCAATTTAAAATTTTTAAGTTCTTAGACCACATTCAATCTGTGTTAGAAACCTATGCTGTGTCAAATATTTAATCACAATCCAAATCCAAAGCTGTATCAAGCTTGAATGTTGTGTCCATACTTGCCCCAACTGTTCAGGGTTCGACCTCTGCGGTCGTATCAAGCTGCGCCCAGCGAAGCATTTTATTGATTATGGGCCCAGTTTTCAAGTTGGTCCAAATTGGGGTCCAAAATTAAACTTTGTTTGATTTCAACAAAAATTGAATATATGAGGTTCTTTGATATGCTGAATCTAACCATGTATTTAGATTTTTTATTTGTAGGCCCCGCTATCAAATTGGTTCATATTGAGGTCAAAAGGGTCCAAAATTAAACTTTGTTTGATTTCATCAAAAATTGAATTATTGGGGTTCTTTGATATTCCAAATCTAACCGTGTATTTAGATTTTTAATTTTAAGTCCCGTTTTTTAAATTGGTCTACATTAAGGTCCAAAGGGTCCAAAATTAAACTTAGTTTGATTTTTGCAAAAATTGAATTCTTGGGGTTCTTTGATATGCTGAATCTAAACATGTGTTTAGATTTTTGATTATGGGCCCAGTTTTCAAGTTTGTCCAAGTTGGGGTCCAAAATTAAACTTTGTTTGATTTCAACAAAAATTGAATATATGGGGTTCTTTGATATGCTGAATCTAACCATGTATTTTGATTTTGGACATTGGACCATAATAGGTAAATTAAAAAAATTCAAGTTCTTAGACCACATTCTTTCTGTGTCAGAAACCTATGCTGTGTCAAATATTTAATAACAATCCAAATTCAGAGCTGTATCAAGCTTGAATGTTGTGTCCATACTTGCCCCAACTGTTCAGGGTTCGACCTCTGCGGTCGTATCAAGCTGCGCCCCAGCGAAGCATTTTATTGTAGATTTGTGTTAAAATTGGGTCGAAATGTACCAACATGTTTTTTATATGGCGAACTTGGCCATTTACCTCTTTTTATTGTTAGAAAACAAAAAATATTGAAATATTGGTTACATATTATTACAAATAAACCAAAAGTTGTATACGATGTGTATAACTCTTGTATGACGATGCTATCAATGGTTATGTAAACTGGGCCTCAAATATACGGGATATATTATATGATCTTGGGTTAAATTATGTATGGCTAAATCAAGATGCTAGCACAATATGTATAAATAATATTATAATTGTATTAAAGATCAATACTTGCAGAATTGGTCAACAACTATTCAGGAATGTAGTAAACTGTCTTTATATTGTAGATTTAAATTAACTTTTTATATTGAAAAATATCTTTCTTATAGCAAAGATGTTAGTCTGCTAACAAAGTTACGTAGTGGAACATTAAAGTTCAATATTGAAGTTGGTCGTTATAATAATATTCCTAGAGAAAATCGTTTATGTGAAATGTTGTAAAATGTGTGTTATTGAAGATGAATACCATTTTGTTCTTGTTTGTCCAGCTTATAGATCTGTACGAACACAATTTTTACCAAAGTATTATTGTTCTTGGCCTAATAACAGCAAGCTATTAAATATACTACAAGCTTCTAGTAAGTCTCTTACGATCAAATTATGTAATTATGTAAAAGCTGCATGGAATATCCGATTGTAACTGAGAGTTTATATAAATCAAAGGTCTTATTATCTTAAAAATGTTTTGTTTTGGCATCTTGTATCACTTTAAGGGTTGTTTTACAGAAATCTGAATTTAAAGAAAAAAGAAAAGAAAGGCGACCACCATTATCTTATGTTGTTCCAGAGGATACACCTGGCATCATGTATACAACAGAGGGTGTGGCATACCAGATCAAAGAGTATCTTAAACAGTTACAGGTGAGTGCCTTTTATACAACAAGTAGGATTGGTAAACCAGATTAGTGAGTATCATACAGGTAAACAGTATTTTGCTCACCTGGTCAAAAGTGATAGTCGAACTAAGCCATTACTTTGTGTTCCTGGTCTTACTGTTAACTTGTCACATTTTCATTACTGGTATCCTTTCCCCAAGTCCCTACTAATGCGACAATTTGAAGCCAATCAACCAAATTTGATATCAGTGAATACTCTAAAACTCTATTATGAGATGATGAAACCTTGAAAAGGACAAAAGTTTTTTTTTATAAAACTCTATATAATATATTAAGAATTGGTTAATCCTTTGAAAGTATCTTTCTAAACCAGAATTTTTAAATTTGACAGAGAAAAATATCATGCAGACTGTTCACCTCATGTGCATTTTTAATCCACTTAGTAGTAAATTGCCAGGAATGTTCTACAAATTATTTCTTTTATATATATGCTTCCTAACCTCCCTTTTCTGCCAATAAATGATTCTAATGAAATTTTTATGTAATAATGTTTTTCATTGGCTAAAATTTACCATCAAATCCACAGTTGACATGTCGTAACTAAGGAGGGACCCGCCATTTTGAATTGCCTTGATCAACAAATGTTAGATTACTACAATATTATCAAAAATAAAACAACACCTACCTCAAAATTGCCGTTTTGATGTGATTTTATCCAAATTTGAATTGTAGAAGTAACTTAACAACCTTCAGTTTGTAAGATTTCATTTGTATTACGTCACGTTTAGCCATGACGTCTTTGCGCCAAAATCACTCATGAAGTTCGTGGGATTTTATTTTATTTCAAATTTTTTACATTTTTTCAAGCTCTAATATATTATTTCTTTTTGTAATGCATTAGAATTGTAATGACAGTTTGATTTGACGGTCGCAAATTTCCATTTTACTGTCTCCGCTACGTGTCGCCAGTAAAACTGCATTTGTGACCATCAAATCGCCAATTGGCGGTGGCAATTCTTAAACTACAGTACTGTTATTCCTTAATTTTTATTGTACTACCCTATTAAAGTGTCATCAAGAAAAAATGTCTAAGAAATTTTTATATTGACAACAGATATTTGATAATAAGGAAAGAAATTTTCTTTGAATATATATTATGTTTCTTTACTATTTTATTATAAATTTCAGATTAAATGTGAAGATAAGAAATCCAATGAAGCAAAGATATCCATGGTTTTAACTGCATACCAAAACACATGGTCAAATCAAAGAAAAAAGCGCAGGCATCCTAAGGATAAACAATTGCAAGAACATTCATCAGACACCAAATATATGAACACAAACAATTCTAACGATACTACACAATATGCTGCTTCTCTGATTGCTGGAGAAACATTTCCTGTTGAGAAAAATCAAGCAAATTTAACAGAAATTGCTCATAAAGGTGTCATAAGTGTTGCTGGAGAAACATCTCCTGTAGAGAAAAATCAAGCAAATCTAACAGAAATAGCTCAAAAATTTGACATAAGTGTTGCTGGCAATACACCAGTAAAGAGAAAACGGAAAGGTTCAGGTAGTTCAGATAGTTTGGAAGCAAAGATACAAAAAACTGAAGGTAATTCACAGATTTCTGAAATTAGGGAAATGATACAAAACGCTGATGGAAGTATGGATAACATTGATACCAGTATGAATGGAAACAAAGTAAAATCTGAATCTATTGATCTAGAAGCCAGTAGTTCATCTGGTGTAAATATTAAGAGGTGTGAAACTACTGCAGAGAATTTATTACCAACTTCATCTGTCTCAAACAATCAAAGTGAAAATTCTACACTTTTGAAGTGCAATCTGTATGTCAAACAAATTGAAGATGAAATGATTTCTATTGAAATGTCATGGATAGATGGAACTTGTCGGGAATCCATGAACCAAGTACTGCAATACTTTAAAAACAAATTAAAAGTTTCTACTTGAAAGTATGTTGGTTGTTATTGGCTATGGGCTGTCTAGAACTAGATTTATTGGAAGGACACAAGTGCCCCTTCCAAAACCCCAATCCTGACTTATAAGCTCAATTTGGACAAATCATAAATTTTGACTGTATTTCATCAATATTTAAAAAGCATATATAACTGTTTTTTAACATTCATATTATATATGCTATTATTAAGGATAGATATGCACTGTAATTCAATTTCACAATTTCAAAAGGTAATACAGCTAGTCCAGTTATCGCCATTGGATGGGTCACTAATCCGTTAATTAATAAACCTCATGATTGACAGTCATAACTATTTTCCCCAGTAAAATCAGTCATTCGGCATTTGAATATTTCTCAAACAACCACAATTTGCAGTTCATTTATCATAGTTTCGTCATATAAACAAAATTGTTTTTCCCAGCACAGTTCGCATTTTAATTTCAATATTTCACAAACGATCACAATTTGCAGTTCATTTGTCGTAGTTTCATCATAGTTTTGTCATATAAAAGTATTTTCGTCATATTTTATATCACTTTTCATCAAAAACTTTGACAATTTCGATTAAAGAGATAAAACTTTATTCAAAATATTCACAAATATTTTCAGGAGTCAAACAGGTTCTTTCTTTACTATCATGACTAAGTACTGTGCATGCGTGAAAGTATTCTTATAAATTAGACACTAAAACGTGAATTACTAAATCATTTAGTACCAAATTGAACGAGAGAGACAAATATATTTCTTACTAAGCAACTTAATTTAAAAAATGATAATATCCTGCATTTTGTTAAACACGAACCAATCCGAAGATGAATCTGGATTCATTCTGAATTTATTATCCTCTTGTCACTTCCTGTTTTCATTTCGTTTAAATATCGAAAGTAAACGTGATCTATTCTTGATTTATATACACTATACAATCATTAGAATCGGTCCAACAAGGATAATTGGTTTCAAGTTTATAGAAATGAATTCCAAATATCAATTTAAACGTTTTTACAGGGATAATGATTATGCAGTGAAATAGTGTTGAACTACAAAAAAGATTGTGATGATGAAGTTTCTGATGAATTAATTCACTGTCTCAGACCATTGAAAGCTTTAATACATATCATTAAGATGTATATAAAATCAGTGATCTGTGCAATATTAAAAACACATTTAAAATTTTATTATGGAATGTGACTGACATCAGTCTCCTGAGAAAAGAGGGGCAAAAGATACCAAAGGACATTCAAACTCATAAGTCGAAAATAAACTGACAACGCCATGGCTAAAAAAAGAAAAAGACAAACAGACAAACAACAGCTGTACATAAGACAAAACATAGAAAACTAAAGACTGAGCAACACTAACCCCACCAGAAATTAGGGTGAACTCAGGTGCTCTGGAAGGGGAGGGCAATCCTGCTCCACATGTGGTACCTGTCGTGTTGCTCATGTTAGTCATTCTGTAAGTTACTTTCGGGGAAAAGGGGACAGGATTGTAGTTACGACAATTGGAACATATCCGTTGTCATCTGTGAAAGAGATATTCCTTAACCTTCAACCAACTCGTGATGGCATCCATAAAATTTACGAAGGGATGAATTCAACTTCAACAGCAACCCTCTATCAAGGAAATCATGATAGGAAATACAAGCCCTGGAATATCGTATCAGTTTGGAGAAATATATTCTGTATGCAGGCGCTACTGAAATGTTGCTACATAGAAATGGAAAGTTCACAATTGGAAAGCTGAAATCATCTCTTTTGTTGTTTTAAGTTTTGTTTTCAACCGACCCTAATTGTCAATTTCTAGATGTGAGAGTGAACCTGTACCTTTCAATAAAACAAATTTTAAGATCTGGTCCAGGGGACATATTTTTAGGGGTAAAACAGGATCTAGTTTATCTTTTCACGATACAAATCACTACATACACATGAGAAGCAAAGGAACAGTGATTTTTTTTTAATTATTTGTCTCAAAGTCAAAGTGAGGCCTTCAACACTAGCAAAAACCTTCAAAGCAAGTTCATTTTGTCTCCTAGCACCAGATGAGCAAACTACTTTGCTAGCAGCTGATCACCCTACAAATGTGTTTTGAAAAACACAGCTGGTGGGTAATATCAACCAATTATAGAATAACTTGGCAAATAAAACTCATCACATACTGCCATCAATTGACAGTATAGTGTTTCCTCAACATCAAAGTTTACTTAGCTTTTGGTTCATTTGAAAATCAAAATTCTACAAGAACAAGATCTGCAAATAGAGACTTTAAGGTAGGCACTTGTATCCCTTTAAATACTCTGTGAATAAAATGTGGTGAAACATTTAACTAATAAGCATGCATAGCAACAGATAATATTGAATGATCAATCCGGAATATCATTATACCAATGACAATAGCAATAATCTTCGTACGTGGCCGTCTACAAGACATTTGGGACTCTCAACACTGTCTCTTTTCTAAATGTAAAACCAAAAACTGCAAAACCTATAAAATTTTAATAACAGATGCTCAATTCACAAGCAATTTAACTAAAAAATCTTACTTTACCAGAAGCTACGATGATCTGAATTGTAAATCAACAAATCTCGCCTATGGATTAGAGTGCAACCTTTGTGGATTGGCTTATGTCAGTGAAACGAAAGTCAGGCTTAATAAACGTATGTTCAGCCATAGATCAGCATCAACAACAATCCAAGCGACATTTTTTACCAGTATTTAATCAGCCTGATCATTCAATCCTTTCTATGCAAGTCCGCATCATCGAACAAATATACCACAGGGCTAACAGTATATGGTTGCAATGACAAAATTGATGGTATAGGTATTCTATCTAGTACTCCCTGCAGTTCGGTAAATGTGATGAACATTTTCAACTCTACTCCTCGACGTAGACTCAATCATGATCATCGTCATTATACATCATCTACTCTCCATGATGTCTATTAAAGACCTGCTGCCATCTATACAAAAGCCGTGAGGTATTCATCACATTCGCACGAAGCTTCATGCATTACCTCTTCAAAACTTCATTATCTGAAAAACTTATGTTTGGAAACCACTGTTACAAACCCCCATTCAAACCAATACAAACTTACAACTATCATCTCGGATATTGCCCGTCACAGACTTTTCAAACTAGTTCGCATAGGAAAAGATGGAAAGGAGAATAGTTCCTTTCTTAAACTTTCCTTGCCATCAACTTTGGCAATATTCTTCATCATAAATCAATTCACTCGAAAAAAAAACCTCCCTATTTTAAGATCAATCTGTACCTGTCAGTTTTTATACCTATACAACACCAATTGCAACTAAAATTTTCAATTACAAACACGTGTTCCAGGATCTCAATATTGAAGACTCGAAGTCTAAACCTCCTGATTGCACCTGTGCTAGTTCCCTATTCGTATATAATCCGACTGGCCACGTTAATACTGGTAACATAAACATTGTCAACAACACTTCTCTGCGATATGTGTTATCCAAAGGCCCGAAATATCGTGAGCCTAAATCCATCAATTGGAAACACAACTTCAAAATACTGATGCATTCAGTCGAGAATTATGCCAGGCAATGGGTTAAACGCGAGAAAGAAGACGTATATAATCTTTCCGAATGGATTAAGGCTGTGAGGTCGTTGATAAAAATCCGAAATTAAAAACTGTATGGGTCTATGAATACCCATGGTACATGAATCTTTTAAGACCCAAATGTTGCAAAACACCTATACTCAACTCATTGACAAATATGTTGTTGTCCCCGCAGATAAAGCCCCAAACAACATCGTTTTTGTGTGTTAATTTAATTAACTTAATTACATTACACAAACTGCTTGATGATTGAATTAGGTATTGCCAATTCACTTGGAAACTCAACCTATATACCCAAGACACTTACCAAGGAGAAAATCCTGGATAATCATAGATCTGTTCTATGTTCTTCTGGAATTTAACCAAAAATGAAGAACTGGATCTTTCTTCACTGTATTTGATACCTAAACTACATAAGAGAGGGGTGAAAGATACCAAAGGGACATTCAAACTCATAAGTCGAAAAAAACTGACAACGCCATGGCTAAAAAAGAAAAAGACAAACAGACAAACAATAGTTCACAAAACACGAAATAGAAAACTAAAGACTGAGCAACACGAACCTCACCAAAAACTGGGGTTGATCTCAGGTGCTCCGCAAGGGTAAGCAGATCCCGCTCCACATGTGGCACCCGTCGTGTTGCTCATGTTAGTACAAACCCGGTAATAAGTCTAATTCGGTAGGTCACATTCGGGAAAAGGGGACGGGATTGTAGTTACGACATTAGGAACATATCCGCTATCATCTGTGAAACGGATATTCCGTAACGGTCAACCAACTCGTGATGGCGTCCGTAAAATTTACGAAGGGATGATTTCAACTTCTCCACTTGGAACTCTTGGTTTAATAGCTTCCTTGTGAGCAGCAACCCTCTATCAAGGAAATCATGATAGGAAATACAAGCCCTGGTGTATCGTATCAACTGGGAGATATATACTCCGTATGCAGGCGCTGCTGGAATGTTGCTACATAAAAATGGAAAGTTCACAATTGGGAAGCTGAAATCATCACTTTTGTCATAAAGTTTTGTTTTCAACCGACCCTCATTGTCAATTTCTAGATGTAAGTCAAGATATGAGGCAGACTTAACTGTATCTGTTGTATCCTTTATCTCAAGTTCGATGGGATGGATGCGTTCAACATAGTCACCAAATTTTGAATTATTTACTGAGAGAACATCATCTATGTAGCGCATGTGTAGCAGGATTTGCCTGCCCTTCCGGAGCACCTGAGATCACCCCTAGTTTTGTTTAAAAGGGGTTCGTGTTGCTCTTGCTTTAGTTTGTAGTGTTGTTCTTTGAGTTGTTTTATTTTTTTAATGTCTGTGATGTTCATACCGGTAACAGTCTTGTCTATCCTTTGTCATGAAAAACTGGTTACAATTTCAAAATTTCACATTCGGTAAAGTTTCAGATTTTGGTGATGTCTTCGGATTAGATAAGAGTTAATTTCCAATCCACTATTGCGTGATGCTTAATCACTTGATATATCAACATATTTTATAGGAGTAATACGACGGGTGTGGCATGTGGAGCAGGATCTGCTTATCCTTTTGGAGCACTTGAGATCACCCCCAGTTTTTGGTGGGGTTCGTGTTGCTCAGATTTTAGTTTTTAATGTTGTTTTTGTGGACTGTTGTTTGTCAGTTAGTCTGTTTGTCTTTTTTTTCGCCATGACGTTGTCAGTTTATTTTCGACTTATTAGTTTGAATGTCCCTTTGATATCTTTCGCCTCTCTTTTATCACTGAATGTTTTATTCCTCGAATTCCTTACTTGGCATGGGCAACTCTAATCCTTCACTGACCACTGAGTTAACCCTGGTCTTTTATTAGGTTTGTCATGCTTAATCTTTGGTGTATACATTTTATGAATAGTTGTTTGTCTGGTGTATTTATTTTATGCCTTAGTTTTGTCGTTTGCCTATACTACTTTCAGATCTAATGCTAATTCTAAAGTAAACTACAATATTTAAATTAATTAAATGCTGACATTATATCAAGCAATTTCCAAAAAAAAAAATTTGTTTTTATAAATGTACATATATTTTGGCATCGTGCATCATTGAAGAGAAATACATTGCAGTGATGCGCGTCAGGTACAATGAAATCAGTACGTTTATGTTATAAAAAGAGGCCTGTATTAAAGGCAAATTCAAACTTGCACATTTTTTTGTGAAATTTATTGATATTTAATATCACATGCAATACACAATATAAAATTTATGCAAGGCTGCACCAGAGAAAATGCCTCTGCAATTTAAAATAAACACACAACAACAAAAGTTATCCGTAAAAAGTGAAATAATTAGTACACAACTGCCATTACATATATTTTGAATTACAAAAAATTAAGCTAGGCCTCTACAAAACAGTAATGTTCCTTTGGTATCTTTCGCCTCTCTTTTTCTTTAACATGTATTTATATATATTTTAACTATGAAGCCAACATCTTAATTGAGATTCCCTGTTTGGTATGAATTAAGGTCTGGTCGTCCACAATGACGTTTGCTCTCATACCTTTTTGCCCTCATGCATCCTCGTCCCAGTCAGTTCGCCTTTATTATTATATTACTCTGTTGTGTTTGATCATCATTTCATGTTATATTATAAGACGTATTGAAATCAAAACGTTTTATGAAGGTGCATGTTAAAACAGTTAATGTGTTTGGGGGCATCATTATAATTGTCCTTTTGTGGATTGTTGTCTCATTGGCCATCTTACCGAATCTTCTCAGTTGACAATTGGCTGTTTGGTTTTGTACAAAATGCAAAAAATATGTTATAAATAGATTTATAGAATAAATAATTCAGAAGTATCATTAATCTTATATTATAATGATAATTATATCTAGTGTTCTTGCTCGTTTTGTCGATTGAGTGATGCATTGTGGTACTGTCACACCCTGCAGAACTTCATTCGTTATTGATTTGTTTTAATTCCAAACAAAGAATTGGAGAACCAAATTTTTATTGATTGTTTTTCATATTAAATCACATAGGTTAAATATGAAGGCTTATATAAAAAGAATACTTAATAAGCTTTCTAAATTACAATCAACAGTAATTAAAATCATTCTAATGAAATACCAATCAGCTCGAGATTAATCAACTTGTTTCAGATATATATTCATTTATTCCTAAAAAAATATGATTTATTTACAAGAAGTAAATAGATACTTGAATCAATAAAAACAAAAACCATTTAACAATAATGTGTATTGATAGAAAACAAATTAGAACGGAACTCGGGCGAACGAAGCCTTTGCGTATGGACCGGGAACGAACAGACTTGGTACCAATGCATAGAGTATATAAATAATAAAAGTGATAATGTAAGTGCAGAATCACGAACAAATATGTTCAGTCACAACCAAAATTATCATGCTTGTTAAATTTGCAATACGAATGCCCAGCTAATTGATGGAACGGTTAAAACAAGCTTTACAAAGTCGATTATCAGTATCAAATAACTGTTTAAGCTTACAGATATTCGTTATGGACAGAACAACCAATGAAATAACAAATATCCAAATATTGTTAGAGACTGTTAAAGCAAATAAAATTTCGTTATTATTCTGTAACTCCATTTGAAGATATCAGTGGATTGTCTGGCATCAGCTTATCTAAAAAATATAACAATTGAATGTCAGTTCTATCTTTCGATTTTTGAAGTTTTGTGGAAGAAAGCTTCAATGATTAATGTCTGTTTGCGACAAAAAAATGAAGAGAGCTGAAAATTTTCAAGGTGGATTATAAAGATAAAAGTAAAGTATTTTATGTTAGTGTGATGCGACAAAACTTGTGTTATACAGCAGGAGATCGAGGCCATTATGTGTCCTTGTGTTAGATTTCAGATTATAATTCTTCCCACTGAAAGCTAACGATGCTAGCATTCCATGCCAATACTCGATAATTGATCTGAGCGAGGATAATTGAAAGCCAAATAAAAATTTGAAATGTTTACGCCTGCTTTACACTGCTGATGGACGTTTCTTTCTGAGGGTTTCACCAGCTCAGTAGTGAGAACTTTTGTGATGACATGAAACATCATTGATATATTCATTTTCTGAAAACTTACTGCTTGTAAATTTTTTGTTTTCTAGTTTTATAATCAGCACCCAATTATTATCTTTCCTTAATTTTTTGTCAACTGTTCTCTTTTCTCTAAATTTTATAACCAATTTTTCTGTGTTCTTCATTTGTTTTCGAAATTTTCTTTTGTCTTTTAACCCCATTCAGACCATTTCACTTATATTTTTTTATAAGCTGAATGAATATACAAATATCCTTAGATTGTTCCTATAAAGTTAAATTTAAAGAAACCAACTAAGTGATCACTAGGGACGATTTATAGCGATATACTAAAACAAAAAAAGAACATCTGTATAAATTACTGCGAAGACCGTATCTTGATTAATAGATGTTTTTTTTATTATTTATTATGTCGCTAGGTAGGTTTTCTATTGACGGATGCATCACATCCATATTATAACGATGACAGAGGTAGACAATAGTCGACAGGAAAGTGGAGAAAAACTAAAAGATAAAAAAGGGATTAAACGACAGCTGCTTGAAAAAGAATGGACTAATCAAGACTTTGTCATCTGTGATACAGATATTTCACTCTGATATATAGGTGCTGTTCATTCCTTAACAACACTGATTGACAGTTCACACTGGAAACCAATGATTTGATATCTATGGTTATAAAGAATCCTCTCTCATTGAATAGTCCTCTTCTTATTTAACCATTATATTCTTTACAGCAATTGAAAGGTGACATACATGACATTTGACAACATATTCATCCCAGTATGTCCAGTTTTGGTTGTTTCCTCATTTTGTCATGAACAGACATATTATAATGTCAGATGTGAAACTTAACTGCATTATGCTCTTTGACAATGATGTTTGCATAATTTTCAATGTGCTTTAATTGTCCATGATCTTATTATAATAAATATTTAATTCATTGAGATTATTTGCACGACTAACTGTCAATCCGAGTTTGAGAATATACGAAAAATGAAAACAACACTATATAAATTCCGTGCGTTCAAAGCGCTTTTCTGGATTTACGTTTATCAGGAATAATTGTTTAATCACAGGATGGGAACGAATGTCGCAAAGAATGAATGATGTTTAGTTTTATATATGTTGTGTATAAGTTATCATTTTGTACCAATCATAATTTGTACCAAAAAAATGTTCAAATAATAATTTGCATTTTGACTTTGTACAAATTGTACTTTGTCCAAAAAGTGGTTGTACAAATTACCAATTTGACTAAAATTCGCTAATAATTTATAATTACTGGTTAAAAAAAGCATTTATACACTCTATAGAATCTTAATTGAATGACCACGAATAAACCTGGTTGAAAAATAAAAAAAAAGTTCTGTATCATTTGTTTAAGCATGTGAGTGAATTATGGCATTGGGAATTGCACAGCATCATCTGCTTTTTACGTTCACATTTAGAAGTGCTCAGCAGCACCCTTTTGCATTTACATGAAAGAAACGTCTGGCCACCAGTTTGTGAAAGCCTCTTATTTACTGCATGCTGCGCGTAGCGAAAGTTGAAGCTCATGAACCGTTGCTGCGAATTAACACTTCAATTTGATTTCTAGACAAATATCCTGTTAAAATTCCTACAGCTGTTCTAATTCGGTATCCGAAATCTCCAGATTCAACAATTACGCCTAAGATATATCGAGGATCAGTTGAGGCACGATCGTACTGAGGAATATGTATAATAACATTATACCCCACAGCAAGTTCTGATAATTTCCGCTGCGTCTTCTTGGTATGGATGATATTATTTCAAATCATTAGGTTACAATGAGCTTGCTTTCAGCAATAGCAGTCAAAAGTATTACAGTATGTTCCTTACGTAATAACACTGATTGCATGTTAACCTCTTGGTTTCAAAAATATGTAAAAGACCATAATTTCTATCATATTAGATTATCATATATCCTTTGCACAAATTATAAGTGAATTTTAGTCAAATTTTGTACAAACTGTTATTTGTACAATAATTTGTTTACAGATTACGATTTGTACAAATTTAACAAATGATGATTTGTGCATTTATTTTTGTACAAGTTGTAAAATGATAACTTGTACACAACAAAAATTTGATGTATTCAATCATATGAAGAACGTTAAGTTAATATTTGGTCATAAAAACATTTACTATCCCTTTATCATCTGAGAAACATGTGTAAAATTTCATTTGATAATGACCACAGATTTGCAACTCGCAGTCATAGCTTGCTTTCACGGACATGTAAAAAACAAATATGAGTTTGTCTAAAAATTAGAATTTATTTCACTACAAACTCTCAATTATAAGTGAAAAAACAAACCATGTTGATGTTCAATAAGCATTCCTACCTTTTCCCTTTCCTCTCTGACAGCGACTTATGCAAAACATTTTTACTACCAGTATCAGTAATATAGCGATAACTATAAAAAGTGTCAACAGGTCGACTATAGATATTTCTCCAAGAGACAGGAACTGTTCTGAAGCACTCTCAGTTGCTGCTCCTATACAAAGAGATAACACAACAATTTATTTAAAAGTGGGCTTTTCTTTATTTGTCGTGTAATTTTGATGAAAGTCATTAAAAAAAGCATTCATTTTTTAATCTTTTCATAGTTTTTTTTTTTTTTTTTTTTGCAATGGTTCACTTTCAAATTTGAATACTAATAATAGCTTTTAGTTTTCTTATCGTTTTTAAAGTAAGAAATTGTCTTTCTTCAAAGAGTTATTGTCACATGCTGGAATGGGCTTGCAGGTTTACGACCCGGATAATAATAATATAATAAAACTTACTTACGTAAACTACTTCTTGGTACTACAATTATATCAATGTATCTGATATCGATAACAGAAATGCGAAGAGAATAGTAAAACTTACGAAAGTATTTTAGCTGAAGTGAAGCCTCTTTGGGACCAGCACGGCAACCCCATATAGGACCATAATAAAACGCATCCATGTTCGTTATTGTCAGCACTGCACGTGCAGCCTCCATTGTAACGTTGTATAACACACTTGCCGTCGTACACGTCAGACTGTCCGATTTACAGGTTGCCAACGTCAACCCACCATGCATTATTGTAAGCTCGTTACTACCAGCCTGCAGTTCGTCAGGGGTGAATTTGCAGACCATTTTTACTGACGGATTTACACAGTCGGATACTTCTGGTTCCATTAAATCAATGGAGAGACCTTTTAAAAAATCGAAAACATTAGTAAATCGCTAAAATTCTATGAAGTGTTAAAAGGAACATTTCAGTGTTGACATGAATTTCGTTGATATGGCCATATTGAATCAACTATTTACTTAACTTGAAATTATTCGAAATAATAAAGACTTTCTAACCAGGAATAGATTAACTTACATGACTTAGTTGCTATTAGCAAAACATACACAAACATTTCGGCATTACTTTATGTAAACTTGTTTGATTCGATCGTCACTTATGAGACTTTTGTAGACGAAACCCGCGTCTGAAGTACGAAATTATATGCCTAGCTAGTATGTTTAAGTAGTTTATTTATGGTTCTTTTTATATTACAAATCTGAACAAATTGACAGTTCACTGAACAAGAGGGGTACACTATAATTATTATTGTTTCATTGAAGTATACCTTGCAATTGGCGTGCGTTGGCGTAAACATTTGAAAAGAATATAAAAAAACAAATCATATTTAAGTGTCTTTATTTTAAACACTTCGAAAAATCCATATGCGGGTTTCTAAAAGCGAACTTAATTTGACAAAAGACAAATATAAAACCATGACAATATTATATTGTCTATCAAATGTCCATGAGTAAACGAACTTGATAATTTAGTTTGTTATCCTTTTATTTTGCTACACTTAATTCATGGTATGTATTCTCTGATGCTTGCTCATTTAGACCTGAAATGGGTTTGACAACTTACAGTGAAACTATTGGTACGAAAATACTAATTAAAATGAGATATCGTAACTAAAGACGATGGCAAATACAAAGAACATTTGTTGTACAAGAAAGGTGAAAGATACCAGATGGACATTCAAACTCATGAGTCGAAAATAAACTAACAACGCCATGGCTAAAAGAAAAAAAACAACAGACAAACAATGGTACATAAAACACAACATAGAAAACTAAAGATTGTTAGTCAATAAAAATGGAAAAGGTTGCACGCAGAATTCGCTTTCGTGTTGAATCCAATATTCAGCACTTTTGTGTTCACATTATATATCATCGTTTTTCGTTTTTTTTAGCCATGGCATAGTTAGTTAATTTTTGACTTATGAGTTTGATTATCCCTTTGGTATATATAGCCTCCCTAAGTTACTTCAAATGAATTAAGATTGTTAACATTTGTATTTTACATTTCAATGTATATGACCATGCACACATAAGCATGATAAGGTTATTTTTAAACTTTGATCAAGGTTGAGATTAATTTTATTTATATTTTTATTTTAACCGTTATGTTAAATATATCGTTATTATGATTCGATCAATATATTCATGACTCTTCGTCTTCTTTTTTATTTCTTAAAATGGACGAATCCCTTATATTTCTATTTCATAACAGAATATATTTTATTACGCGTTATGTGGATTAACATGTACCCATCCTCTTTAAAAATGAAAAATACAAAACTATTGACCAATCTGCAATTTAATAAAAGTTTCCATTTAATTTCAACAATTAAAAAAAAAATCTTGTATATGAAATCTTATGTGTCGACTGTTACTGGAACCGAATATATAATGTTCGATTTGTCTTTTGTTAAACCCTTACTGTGTTCAACATACGTCTTTTGTCCCCGATGATATCAAGGCAAACAGCAAACATGACAAAATGACTACAAACATTTAAATGAATCCCGATGCCTTTAAAGGTCTTTATTTTACCAATGTTTTTGTGAAGTTCATTCTACTTGAAAAATACACAAACGGGTATGCTTTATATTGCTTAAAATACTTTTCTTTTACTGGTGTAGAGGAGTACCATACGATACAGTTTCGAACCTACGTTGAATTGTTGACGAACATTTGCATGTCAGTTATTTTTCACATACTCAATACTAATATGTAAGAAAAAAATACCTGCATGTGCTACTTTTTCGGATCAAAATTTAAGGCTTTTACTCAAAATTTCAGTTTCTTTGACATATTCATCTTTTGGACAGACATACCTAACTTTTCTGTTTCAAAATATAAATACAAGCTGATATTTGTAAACAGGTTTCGAATATCTTCTTTACATAAGTATGGTCTAATTTTGTGTATCAATTCTTTGGAAATAATTATCTTTTAATTAAATGTTTGATAATTGCAGAAACGTAATAGATACTGCTGAGCGGATCGAGGCGAAAACATTTTGGACTATTTTATGCAAAAAAAAATATATAAATCACGAGAAACACGATATTTTCTAAAAGAAAAAAAAACCACTTGGCGATCAAAGTAGGGGGAAGCCCTCAACATCCACTCTTTGATCCACCACTGGACACTTATTTTACCTGACTTTATTTTAATAGGCTACCAGGAGATATAAATAAAAAGCTGATTTGCATTGCCAATAAAATAACTAATTATATACCGGTATTTACCTTGGCATATTTCCGACAGTAATAATCCTACAATTGAAAAGCATGTCAACTTAATTGCCTCCATTTCGCTGTTTGTTTTCGTGTTTTCCTTTCGAAGTAAGTCCTCCTAATATGATTTATTTCACGACGGTGTGTCATTAGGTTTTCCGCACAGTTTCGTTTTCCTTAACTAATATGTTAAATACTACTCAACTGCATTTGTATTTCCTAAACATTTTTAAATAGATTGTGATGTACACGATTCTAAAAATAAAACAATGAACACGATTCTTAAAATAAAAAAAGTAAATTCCTTGTTTCTTTTAATAAATGCTTTTTTCTAAATAATATGTAATGCTGAACAAGATTTGCGTCTATTCCATGAAGGGGTATTTGACACATCTGATTGAGTACTGTATACATTTAATTTTTACCGTATGCAATCCTTCAACAGCAAGTAATATTGTGTAAACTAATTTGGTATCTTTGCAGTTGACAACAGCATGAACAGGACGTTTTAACTTAAGAAATGAGGATAACACTTTATAACACTTTATAAATTGTATGCATCCGAAGCGCGTTTCTTGATTCACCTTCATTAAGAACGCTCATAGACGAATTATTTGAAAGCCAAAGGATGTATAAGAACCGAAACAGTTGGAGAGCTATCTGACCTCCCAAAACTTAAATTAATAGCCAAATCCGTTTGCCTGGGGGAGTTTTCAAACTAGGGTTTCAACTCCCTCAGGCAAAGTTGACCTTAGACGGATTTGGCTATTTTTTATGTACTTTTTTTGTCATATAGTTCTTCCACTGTTTCGGTTTCTTATTCATTCTCGGCTTTCACATATTCGGCTTTGAGCATTCCTGATGAAGTTAAATCCATAAAAGCGCTTCGGACTCATGAAATTATTTAACGTGTTGTTTTCATTTTTTTCAATAATTTCAAAATTTATAAACGGACAATTTAAGAAAGCTATGCTAGGAATCATGTCAGTACCGAAGGACTGACTTATCGACACATGAAACATGATCCGATCATCCGATCATACTCTTTTTACACCACTACAATTTACCCTTTACTCAAACTGTATGAACCGTCCTGCACTTGATACATATGTACCAACCATTCTACAATCGATACAACTGTCACATCTTCCAATAATTTGGTACACCTGTAACAATCATCAAAGATCCGATACTGTGGATTCAGTTTTATTCATGGGATACAAATATTCATGAATCTCGAGGGTAGAGATGAAACAAGAATGTAAATGCTCAACAAATTACAAATTTTCTATTAATGGCATGTATGCAGATTTAGGCAAAAGCACGAAATAAAATATCCACGAAAATATAATGTTTCCTCAATTTACGAAAATTACTACCCATGAAAATAAATCAATACCCAGTACATTTATACCGGTCATTCTCAAAGTGGTTATTATGTCTAAACCATTAAACAACCACAAACATTCTATGTTCGCCATCACTTCTGGTTGGTTGTTATTGTCTCGTATTAAATTTAGGCAACAGAAGTTTACCAATTTCCGATTGACATTTATACCTGTTTTGTTATGATCATTGTATTCAAATTTGAGACTTGATATGACTGTGGCACCTTAACAGATGATGCATGCAAACCTATCTCATCGACACCGTCACCTAGTCTGATTCTGTAACTGTATTCGTCGTTGATCCAGTTTATTTCCCAAAATTAAATGTTCACGAGTTGTTAAAATCATTCGAAACACTAAGATTTTCCTATCCCAATTCATAGTGATCTTCAGATTCGGCACAATTTTTGGAAATTTTTGTTTTGAATTTTTGAATGCACTTTAAATTTGTAATTGTGTTTGCTTTCAAACTGGTTTGATTTGAGCGCAACTGACATGTCTTCTGACGACGTAACAATAATCTAGCGTAACTATCTAAAAACCTAGAAGCATTAGTGAATATTCACTCGCACGTTTGCCCTTTTGTACCTAGACACCAACTGGGTATAAAAGTTAGAGTAACACAGACATACTATCTTCGTATAAAATACCAAGTCTGCAGTTCTATAATCTACAATTTCACATTGGCGAAAGCTTTCCTTATATCAAGTTATTCTTTTCTATGTTTAAGTATTTGAAACAACTAAAAAAGACACATTCAAACTCAGATTTTTTTTAAGTGTGATTTATTGAAATTAAATATCTATCTGCAAATTAATAAACACAATGCCAACGTAAAGCTTCTACCGAAGGAATGTTTCTAAAATGCAAAATTAAAACACAAAAGCAAAAATATTAATAAACAAGTAAAATAAATACGACTCTTGAACACAATTATATATAAGTTGTGAATGACAAACACTGAAGATAGGCTCCTCCAAACATGCAAAAACAATTCAAACATACATATAATTGCAAATGAAAAAAAAACCGAAGCTAAGCTCCGGCTAAAAACATTTCACACGGCACATAAATACACATATTTTGATTGTGAATATAAACTCCTTGTTTTGTACAAACACAAATGTCTATTTTTTAAATGAAAATATGAATAATAATGTAAATACAATAGAACTTTAAAGAGACATGCAATCACAGCCGTTTACATTATGCTCAAATGCTTCTAGCGATAGTTTCGGCAATGGCGATTTACTCGATGAAAACGTGCATATTCATGTTAAATGCCCATTGGGGTTGATGGCAGATCTTTGAGATTTTATCCTTCTGGACTTTTCAAATAGACGTATAATCCACATTTTTCATTTATCATGTTAATTGGTACACGAGAATGCTCAACTTGATGAAGCGGTTGGAAGAAGTTTTAATATAAAGATGCTTATAAGGATCAAATAACTGTCTAACAATCGTTTACGAAAGAACAACCAATAATTTAATAACAAATATCCAGATATCGCGAGATACAGCAAATTCAGTTCTCTCCTTCTTTAACATTACTTGTAGATATCAGTGGTTTTCTGGCCTCGACATATCTGCAAAAATAAAGTAGGAAAATAACTATCAGTTCCTTTCTTCCACTTTTTAAACTTTCTTGAAAAGGTTGTTTACAAGATTTCTGTAACGTATTTCAATGTTCATGTTTTACACTGGTCGACAATTTGAAAAATAATTTCTTAAAAGTTTAAAGTCAGCATCCGTATTACAAAGAATAGAAGCCTATGTCACAAAGTGCAATCATTCTTACACAGAGTCCGCCGGGGAAATTTCAATGATTTCCGAAGCAAGATTTTCCAGTCTTTCATTGGTTACGCTTTTCACGAGCACGGTGGCTGTTTTGCGCTATCTGATATTGATTCTTGAAAAATTGTCAGTTTAATAAAAGATATAGAATTGTTAAATTTATTATCTTTTTGAACAACGGTATACTATACTGTTGCCTTTATTTGATGTACATGGTTTAGGAGATCTGATTTTGTCTTTCCTGTATTTCGAAACAGCAACACTGAAAAGAAATACCTCTTCCATCCTTTCTGTTATAACTTTCATTCTTTGATTCCCTTTATTTTTTAGTTTACTGAACATACTTACTCAGTGAGTTTTTCTGCTGCAACCTTTTTTGTTTCTTCGGGAACTGAAATAATAAAAGGCAATAAATCATCCTGCCAGACCCTCAAGGGTAGTATTGGTTGTTAAAACATACTTAAGTTTGATTAATGGAATAGAAGGTGATGTCACTTACATAGCGGTATGGCACCAAATATAGCATGTATAGACTATAGATCTCACCATGACTCCGGCTTTTATATCGTGTGACTATGAACAACGACAAGAGCCATAGTACAAGCTCTGAATCCCATGAATATGTCTATTATTAGCCTTTCAGGATATCGACAATTGTAAACGATACTGAGATTCAGATTGTCCGCTTTTTACTAATAAACAAGTCTTTATCATTTAAAGCAGTGAATATAGATTTCGTGAAGCAACCTTAAACAAGTATAATGTGCAATTTATCACATCTTTATCTAAACAGATTTGGGTCATTTAGTGGCATTTTTTTGTGTATCTGGGTATAGATATTGAATGCTGAGAGATAACTTCTTATAGTCTTTTTTCTGGGTTCTAGTCCTATGCTCTATACCTTTAAGTAGACATTGTATACGTAATCCAGGTTAGATAACACAGAATATTTACCATTTTTACATGCCAGTTCAGCTTCTGTCTTCCTATCTAGACCAGTCTTACAACTTGCGTCAGGAATGTGGTGTGGGTCTTCTATTATATCTGTGAACAAACAATTTATAGTTATTTCAGTTGACTAAACAGTAAACATATGTACATTTTTGTTAAATAGGAGCCATTTTTTTATTATATTCTACACAGTTGATAATGTAAAGTCCTGGAAAGGATTAAGTCTTTAAAAAGTCAGATTTGAACTTTCGTCTCTTTGCATGGGAAAGAGATTATATATACATTATTATACAAATCCTGTATAGCCATGCTGGTATCCTGAGTCCTTCTACAAATGGTGAAGAGATATAAGTATAGTAATGTTTCTTGGCAGATAAAAATTATTCAACTTGTTTGTTCTCTTTAAAAGTTCGCTTATACAATGATATAGTATCATGCATGTGGTGTTGGATTTCGTGAAAAGTAATGCCTTCAAACATTTTTTTGTGATTATTTGAATCAAAGATTCAGGACGTTTTGATTATCAAGGTTAAATATTAATACTATAAGTCTTGTCATGGTAGATTGAAGTTTTTCATAAAACATGCACCACTGAAAATTGTTGTGATCATGTGACTACCACGTACACACAAGAGAGCCTAATTTACATTACGGTCTGGAAGGGAGTCTTCATTTCTACATTCTTTCATTTTGGAAGCCATGTATCTATTAATTGTTTATTTTTCATTGCCCAGTACTTTCAAATCTTTATTTGTTTTAAACATAATTATCTATACTCTAATTTGAATTCCTTTTTTCTCTTCTTTATCATAAACACCTGTCTATTTTATTGTTGATGGCCGTATATTGATCACAAGATGATTATTTTTTCTGTGGTTGTGTTGGTGTTCCATTGACGTATACCTCATATCCAGATCAAAACTATGACAAAGGTGCAGACCATTGTCGACAGACAAATCGGGTACCAGTAATAAAAAAATGCAGGCAATTACAGAAAACCTGCTTAAAAGGAAATGGGCGGATCAAGACTGTTTAATCTCTGATACAGATATTTCACTCTATAAAATATAAGTATTGTTCATTTTGTATTCAAATAAATTCAATGTTCACAAAGGGAAAATTGATTTGATATCTTTTGTCATAAATTAAGAGTCCTCATTCACTCAATAGTCCTCATCTACATTAAAATATTTACCCTGAAGAGTTATTGAAAAGTTACATACATGAAGTTTTGACCTCATATCTGTGCCCAGTATAACCAGTTTTGACCTCCTGCTTCTGTCGTCTGCTGAACAGATCACTTATACACGAACAGGAACAACGCTCAACATCTGTAGGGAAAATACGATAAATTATCTTCTATTTGTATTATTTTATTTTATTTTATCATGTTTTGTTTATTTTAATCATATTAATTGTTCTTTTTATCTTATTTATCAAAACAAAGTATTTTGAAAACTAATTGTGAGAATATAAATAATATATAAAGCACAGTGAATTTATAAAAAGTTGGAAATAACTCAGTGTTTTGCACAGTCGATTATTATATGCTGATCTTCTGTGAACATATTAGGTAAACATGTTAAATCAAACAATAAATGAATATGTGTGTTTAGAGCTACCACATTTTAGAACAAGAGTGCACACGCCGAAATGTCTCGACTACTATACTAACCATTGATTTTATGTTGATAGTCCTAAATATAAAGTTTTACTACAAGTATTACATTAGGGACTTATCATTTTTTTACCTGGGAGGGGGGGGCTGGTCATTTTGAAATCAAACATATAAAATTTTCTTGATCCCCCCATAATATTTCACTATTTTTATTTGATCCCCCCTGTAAAAACATTTAAAAAATGTGACCCCCCCCCCCCCCCCCCCTCTATTAAACATTAACATGCCAAAACTTTAACATGCAAAACACTTACCGAGTTATTTAACGGAAATATTGCAAACATGAAATAGTCTTTTCTAATTTCCTATATTGTGCTATTAAAGCAAACTTGTTCCTAAGTAACTCTGTAAAAAATATACTAGTATATGTCCCTCTTTTGCTTAAACGTAAATTTTACGTTAGGCCTTATAAAAACCACCATTGAATCGGTAAACTTTTATATGGAATAGTTCATGCTTTTAGCTTGAACAATTCAATTACTCATTTATTGTTACATTTCATTCATAAATGTGTGATATATCATCATAGTAACCCCAAATTTTTTTTTTATTAGCCTAAACAGTACAAATTTGAGGGAATGAGAGGTCTAAATGGACCCAAATGGATCTTTTAATGAAAACAAAAAGGCACATTTGTGGTGTTCGTCATCTCAGAATCATCTGTTTACACTTATGTAACAAAATTCAACTGTTTGTATGCAGATTAGATGAATATTTGATCATTTATTGGAGAAATTTACGCGGGGTCAAATTTTCGCGTTTCTTAAGCTGCCGCGAACAAAGCGAAAATTAAACACACGCGAAAAAAAACCCGATATACGGTATAACGACTGGATTATTCGGGGTATGAAGCACCAATGCATTTTATATGAGACAAAATGACACAAAAATGGTAGCTTCCTACATCACCTAAGTCATGTGATGTCTTACTTAATTGTCATGATATGAATGGTGGTAAAAATTTATTTCCATTTGACTGTTGTAATCATCCGTTCTTCTTCACATTTTGTATTTTGAAGTATGCAAACTACTCATTTCCATGTGCAAAAAATATTGATCCCCCCACTTTGAATTTATAAAAAAATTTGAACCCCCCTTTTCCACACACAGAAAAAAACTGGATCCCCCCTGCATTTTGACCAGCCCCCCCCCCCCCCCCCCCCCCCCCCCCTCCCAGATAAAAAATGATAAGTCCTTTATCATTTATGATCCAAGAAAATGAGGTCAAAGTCAGATAAACCAAGCCGGAAATACATGTACACCTTTAATACAATCATTCCATACACTAAATATAGATGAACTATTGCTTATAATATAAAAGAAACAGACTAAGCCATGGAAATTTTATATTGACCAATGAACCGTGAAAATGAGGTCAAGTTTTATTCTATTGTCCATTTAGTGTATATTCCTATCTTTATGAACTAAAAAAATGTAATATCCCATGATTGTGCAGAAAAGTTTGTTCGTCTTTGATGAGATGTTTTTAGGTCAGATGAACCCTGTCAGACAGACATGTACCCCTTACAATCATTCCATACACCACCTATAGTTGACCTGCTGCTTGTAGTATCTGAGAAACGAACCTAATCACGTAACTTTAACCTTGATCACTGATCCATGAATTGAGGTCGAGGTCAAGTGAACCCTGTCTGACGGACATGTAGACGTTGCAAGGAACCCATATACCAAATATACTTATCCTATTACTCATATTAAGTGAGAAATTCACATGACAAAAAAAAATGTAATCTTTTTTCAAGCAGTCACTGAACCATGAACATGAGGTCAAGGACAATGGGCATATGGAGGGTTGTCTCATTGGTACTCATACCACATCTTCTTATATCTGTATATGACAGACGGAAACTTCGTAACATGAGGTATCTGCATACAAGGTATGAAGCATCCAGGTCTTCTACTTTCTGAAATATAAAGCTTCATACAAATAGTTTACGCCACCGCGCCGGATAGTAATACCTATGTCTCGCATACTGCGACTTTCGTCGCAGGCGAGACATGCAAAAACTACACTTTTACCACTGAACCATGAAAATGAGGTCAAGTTCAGATGACACCTGCCAGTTGGACATGTACACCTTACAATCATTACATACACCAAATATAGTTGACCTTTTTGCATACAGTATTAAAATAACAGACCAAAACACAAAAACTTAACTTTTACCACTGAACCATTAAAATGAGGTCAAGGTCAGATGACATCTGCCAGTTGGACATGTACACCTTACAATAATTACATACACCAAGTATAGTAGACCTATTGCTTATAGTATCTGAGATATGGACTTGACCACAAAAACCTAACCTTGTTGACAGATCCATGAAATGAGGTCGAGGTCAAGTGAAAACTGTCTGAGAGGCATGAGGACCTTGCAAGGTACGCACATACCAAATATAGTTATCCTATTACTCATAATAAGAGAGAAATTAACATTACAAAAAATCTGAACTTTTTTTTCAAGTAGTCACTGAACCATGAAAATGAGGTCACGGACAATGGAAATATGACAGACGGAAACTTCATATCATAAGGCTTCTATATACAAAGTATGAAGCATCCAGGTCTCCTACCTTCTGAAATATTAAGCTTTTAAGAAGTTAGTTAACGCCGCCGCCGCGGCCGGATCACTATCCCCATGTAGAGCTTTCTGCGACAAAAGTCGCAGGCTCGACAAAAATATGGTATATAGGAAGATCTCTTTCATTTTGCACAATTTTTACCTGTGGTCAATAGGAAACACATCCAATTTTTCATGATTTCCTGTTAAAGTGTAAAAACAAACTCTAGGGTTTGTATTTTTAGGCAAAAATAGGGTATGTAGACCCAAGTATATCTTTTGTCCTCACATATAAAACCATAAAACTAATGATTGGCAAAATTTCACATTATAAGTCCTTTATTTCAGACGTATATCTTACTAGATAAATGCATAATTTTTTACACTGTTGATGTTCAATCTGAGCAATATCAAAATAGCTCGTAACAGAATGGTGTATCGCATATTAAATTAAAAAAATAAGTATATGCATGTTTTACTGCGGATGACATACACATATTTCTATAATAAATTGCAGTCAGTTAAAGATTATGTTAAACACACGGTGATTGAAATACTGTTGAAAATTCATTATCATTTAGTAAATTAAAATGTCACTTATGAAATATAACTATACATTACTCTTTCTCAATCGTTTTCATACATAAAACAAGTTGGGAACTATAGGTCATATATGTAGCATGTAGCAGGGTTAAACATGTTTGCGGGTGCCAAACTCTCCCCTTAGCCTGTCTGTCATTTTAAAAAGAGAGAGAAAGCGTTTAATTCCGGCATGGGAACGAAGGTCGCAGAGAATGATGCGGTTTTGTTTTATATACATGACTTCTGTCATCATATGATAACGATCCCCCAGTATGTTAAAATTTGATCTTCGTAAATATATAATTTCCATTTTCACATTTGCAAAATGTGAAGAAACAAGAATGTGTCCATAGTACACGGATGTACACTCGCACTATCATTTTCTATGTTCAGTGGACCGTGAAATTGGGGTCAAAACTCTAATTTGGCATTAAAATAAGACAGATCATATCATAGGGAACATGTGTACTAAGTTTCAGGTCAAGTTGATTGGACTTCAACTTCATCAAAAACTACCTTGACCAAAAACTTTAACTGAAGCGGGACAGAAGGACGGACGCACGAATGAACGGACGAACGAACGAACGCACATACAGAAAAACATAATGCCCCTAGGTGGGGCATAAAAAAGGCGAAGATACCAAACGGACAATAAAAACTCATAATTTAAGGAGATGCCGACGATATCATGGCGTAATGTAAAGAGAAAGTTTTCTTTTCATAAATACTACAGACTGACAACTTTAACTCTGCTACCGTGGACATTATCTTAAGATAAAGTTTCTAGTTTCTGGTTTTGAAAACAAATATAAATTTGGCTAAAACTAGGATTTCTTTCACTCAAATGTCTCAACCATTAATCGTAAAAGAAAACATGCTGATGTCCAATAAGCATTCCTACCTTTTTCTTTTTCTCCCTGGCTATGACAGCAACTTACGCACACGACTTTGATTAACAGTACTAACAGTATAGTGATAACTATAAAGAGTGTCACCACATCAACAATACTGATCTGCCGGAGAGACAGGAACTGTGAAGACAAACTCTCTGTTGCTGCTCCTATACATAGAGAAAAACATCACTTTATATTAAAAGCACTATCTTGTTTGTTTGCAATTTTCTTAATAATAACATAACAACTATCTGGTGCTTCTCCTATGCAACGAGAAAACACAACTTTATATTGAAAGCACTTTCTTGTTGTTTGCAATGCGGGTACTTTTAATAAAAGAATAAAAAAACAAAATTCACAGATTTATTTACTTTTTCCATTGTTCATTATTAAAATTTTGAAAGTCTTCAAAGAATTTTGTTACATTATGAAAAGCTTAACTTTGTGTGTGGGATTGAGACCATAATGAATTAAAAATAATCATCTACAAAACACTATTTTTTGTAATAATTTAAGACCAAGACGAAGAAATCAACTAAAAGGAATATGTAAAGAGTAAAACTAACGGAAGTATCTCAGCTTAAGTGAAGCCATTTTTGGTCCAGCATAGCAACCCCACGTAGTACCAGAATAGTACACATCCATGTTTGATATTGTAAGCACAGCACGTCCAGTCTCTATTGTCACGTTGTATCGCCCGCCTGCCGTTGTACAGGTCAAACTGTCTGATTTGCAACTTGCCATCGTCAAACCACCATGCATAATTATAAGCTCGTTGCTGGCTACCTGTAGTTCGTCAGAGGTGAATTCACAGATGATTTTTACTGGAGGATTTACGCAGTCGGAAACTTCATCTTCCTTCACATCAATTGATATACCTATTATTTAAAAAAAAAGAATAACTAGTAAATTGCTAAAACTCTATGAAGTGTTAAAAGTTGCATGTTTCAGGTTCTCTTGATTTACCGAACTGGACAAATAAACTGTTTAGAGTAAATGCTGATGCAGTAGGACTACATATGTTTATCTTAATATATTTTTATTTTTATATATTTTCATCATTATATATTTTTTATCTTTAGTGTGATATACCTTACCATTGTAAATAAATAATATCTATATAAGTCAATGATTTTACTTTTAATAAATTAAACAAAATATATCCATGACTTTCTATAAGCAAAGCTATAACTTAACTAGTCAGTTGCAAATGTGTTCAGTGAAGCATGGAAGTATTATATTGCCGATAGTTATCATGATATTTCGCCAGAATTTATTCACAGTATGACTAATGGAATTCTCATACTTTGTACGATCAGAACTTTAAAGTTTTTGACGGTAAATATTAACTAACAGTATTTGTACACATAAAGTGAAAGAATTTTTCTTGCGTTTACGGTAACAACAAACTTGAAGTGTTTTCAACGAAAGGTGATAACCAATATAGATTTTAAAATAACGTATTACAACCACTGTTGCTGTGTACCTCATTAAATATGAAAGTTTTGCACCCGGACTTTGCACTCGACTGCACATAGTGATAAACCACAGGGAAATGATTAATATGACTTCAATACATTTCATTTTAATATTTATATTACAAGGATTTTTTTTTTCCAAATGTTAATCCAAATCATATATAAGTTTGTTATCATTTATAATATATTTCATTGCATAAAGCCATGCACCTAAATCTTTGGTCAAGGCTAAGGTTTTGTATTTCATCTTTTAATCTTAACAGTTGCGTAATTTATATGTATTAACTGATTCGCCCTAAAATAATGACTCCTGGGAATCTCCTTTATTTCCTGAAAACGAATATCTAAAAAAAATAATTACATATCTTCCATAAAAGTACAGATTTAATTAATTTTTGTTTGGAGATACACGCATTCAATTAAACCAAACCAAACATTTTCCAAAGAGGATTTAAAGAGTATAACAAAAATACCGAACTTCAATTAAGCCAAATTCAAAAAGGGGAAGTCCATAAAAACATGAAAAACTGACAAAATCAAACGCTATTAATCAACGGAACAAGTGAAAAACAACATCCATATTCCTGACTTGGTACAGACATTTTCCGAAGAAAATTGTGGGTTTAACCTGGTTTTATAGCCAGCTAAACCTGCCACTTGCAAAACAGTTATTTATAGTTCCGTTTTATTGACAAAATTGGGTGAGCATCCCAAAGAGACATATTAGATAATGTTACAATAATTGGGATCCCGCAGCCAAAACTGTGTAAACATACATCACAGACATAAAACACAACTGACTAAAAAAATTAATCAAACATATCATGTTAAACATTGGTCCAACAGATTTTAGTACAACAATCTTTTGACTTTGGTAAAATAGAATAATTTTAACAATAAAAGTAGCTGAAATGTAAAATTTTGTAACTGTCAGCGCAAAAACAGAATATTTCCAAATTTAACCAGATCAGAATGAGTAATCGAATGTCCCGTTACATGTATCAAACATGGCAAAATGATTATATATACGAGTGAGAAGACCCCGATGTCTTTATTTGTTTTTGGTTATCCAATGTTTTGGTGTGAGAGATCTTGATGAAAATCTATATCTATATGGTTACTTACATGAAACACAACTGATATACAATAGAGCAGATGTGGTATGATTGCCAATACAAAACTATCCACAGGAGGAAGAAGTCACTGTGCGACCTTGAAATCAACAATAACGACTATCCAGCAGAGACCGAATGGGGGTGAAAATAAGAAATTATAGGGTCCCATACGGCTTGCAACGATGAGTGAATCCCATAGCGTAAAATATGCTATAAAGGGCTCCATAAGGACAAAATGTCAAACAATTCAAACTAGAAAACTAACGGCCTGGTTTATAATAAAAAATAATAAAAGCAACATAGATACTAGTATGACAGACAGCAACCAACGACAGCGACTGAGTTATAAGCTCCTGAATTGGAACAGGCAGAAATAGAATGTGGCGGGGTCAAACATGTTTGCAAGACCTCAACTCCCCACTAACCCAGACATTGATGATACAGCACAATATAAGACCAAAATGTAACAATCAGTTGAAAAGGGTTTGACACTTCAGATCTACACGAAGCATAATTATGACCTTACAGAAAGAAATATGACGCATAGTACTGATCTAAATGTAATAGCAGTTCCCAAAAGCTAATTAAAAACAAATTTCAACTAATAAATAAATGAAGTTTTCCCAAACTAAAATATCAAGCAGCAGCTGCAGCACACACCCACCATATTTAGTGTTAACAGTCTGAGAAAAGCGCAATGTCAAAATATAAGTATTGACAGGATTGTTAGAATTAGATCTGAATACTACATGTACTAGTATGTGACTTTTATAGGGGTCAGAGTGTAGACGTTATATATTCCTTGGACTTGACAAAGTACACATGCGAGTTGTTCAAAAATTGAATGAGCATAGCTGCTGATGTGTCTGTAGATAAACAAGCATTCTGAGAGTATTGCATGGCAATACATAGTCCCCTACCGGTTAAAAATTTATTGTACTTAAACAAACTGCTAACTTGATCTATAACATGTCATGGTGTACACTACATAAAAAATATCAATCGATATCTTCATGCATGAAGAAAAAGGTGTGGAAATCTGATTATTTGCATGAATTTTATAAGTCAGAGGACCATAACTCTGCAAATTAATCATCTGGACCAAACAGAATTCGAACTTGATCTGTAACTTGTCATGGTAAAACTATATATCAAATATCAAATCAATATCGTCAAGCATAACAAAAAAAAAGTGGGGAAAACTGATTAATTCCGTGAATTTTCTAAGTCCAAGGACCATAACTCTACACAAAATCATCAGACAGGAATAAAATTCGATCTTGATCTGTAACTTGTCATGGCAAAACTATATATCAAATATCAAATCAATATCTTCAAGCATAACAAAAAAAAAGTGGGGAAAACTAATTAATTCCGTGAATTTCCTAAGTCCAAGGACCATAACTCTACACAAAATCATCAGACAGGAATAAAATTCGAACTTGATCTGTAACTTGTTATGGTTAAACTATATACCAATTATCAAATCAATATATTGAAGCATAACAAAAATAGGTGTGGAAAATTGATTATTTGCGTGAATTTTATAAGTCCGAGGACCATAACTCTGCACGAAATCATCAGACCGGAACAAAATTCGATCTTGATCTGTAACTTGTCATGGTAAAACAAAATACTAAATATCAAATCAATATATTGAAGCATAACAAAAAAAGGTGTGGAAAATTGATTATTTGCGTGAATTTTCTAAGTCCAAGGACCATAACTCTGCACAAAATAATCAGACCGGAACAAAATTCAAACTTGATCTGTAACTGGTCATGATAAAACTATTATTGAATATCAATTCAATATCCCCAAGCACGAAGAAAAAAAGTGTGGAAAACTGATTTGCCGGACTGACGGATGGACAGACAAACAGACAGACAGACAGACGGAGTGCAACCCTATAGTCCCCTTCGACTTCGTCGCTAGGGGACTACAAATCTGTACATAGACCTAGCATATATCGCTGCATGCATAAAGCGGTGTTTTGAAAATTTTATTTACCTAAACTATATCATGTATATGTACTTGTTAAATAGATAAAAAGATTACATATATTTTACCTTGACTTATTTCTGATAAAAAGCTACCGAAAAATATATACACAAAGCTGATGTACCTTAACAATAAAATTAACTAACTGTATGCTTACCTTGACATAAGTTCAACAGTAACATTCCTACTATTAAAAAACATGTCATTTCAACTGTTTCCATTTTCCTGGCTATTTTCGTCCCTTTTACTTCAGACGACAATCTTTCCAATAAGATGTATTTGAAGACAGTATGTCAATCGGTTTTCCACGTAGTTTCTGTTTCCTTTAGTTCTATGTATACTTACCTGTATTAATTTTGTATTAATATTCTTTAAATAGAACGGAATGTACATGATTCTAAAAATAAAATGATAAAAAAATCTATTTCTGATCATTTCAGGTTTTTCGTAAATCACTTTTATTAATAAAAACAATACTGTGCAATTTTGCGTCTTTTCCATCTAAGTGGTATTTGAAACAGTGGGCGATTGTTTGTTATGTACCTACGTGTGATTACACCTCACGAAGTAATTTTAGTATGGTCGTAAAATATACATGAAATATTTGCCACAGAACGGTAAGCAACAATCAAACGCAGGGTATATTAACTATAAAAAAAACCTGTAAAGTTTTATTAGTCATAGTTAAAGTACTCGTGACAAGCATATACATGTATGATTATAAAAAAGAACACACATTAAACATGATTCACACCAATTTTAAAAATACCAGCAAAGTACGGGAGGTTAAAATACCATCGTATAAATAGGTTGGAGTGGATAGTTTTATAGCATATTTAACACGATAAAGATAACGTTTATAGATAAAGGAATTATATATATATATAGAAGTTTTTCAGACGAAGGGTTACGATCCTCTAACTGGCTCCCATCACGAGTGAGGACTGGTTTTGCGGGAGTGAATCAAGCAACGCTTGGAGAGTGCCACGATCCTATAGCAGTACGGAATATCCTCATCCAGCCTCAAACATTTGAGAGTAGAATCCCTGGGAGTTCAGGCCTTAATTTTTCGACAACACGATTCTTCATATATATTTCACATCACGTTGTAGTCGATACTCATTTTATTTTGTCATGTTTGTAAACTATTCTAAAATGTTCATGATATATTCATCTCCACGCTGACTTATTTCTGTTTTTAAGTTAAAAAAACAATAACCAGTCAAGCAATCTAAAAACCTTAAACGTTGAACTGTAAAGTGAAAGTTAACAATATGATTTATTTATCAGTTGTAACTGGCTTTGAACTATAGCTTTCAGTAACTACTAGTACTCTTACAATGTCTTATTTTGATGCTTTGTGTTTATTGTTTTTATGCTGCTATAGTTGTTTTGTGCCTCGTATCGATCTTTTGAGATATGCCAAGTGCAACTGATTTTTACTGTGTATTCTTATGTTGTGCTATTACATCGATCACTGTCCCGGGTTATGGGGGTAGTTGAGCGCTCACAAACATATTTAATCCATCATATACTTCATGTGCTTGTCCCAAGTCAGGAGCTTGTAATTCAGTTACTGTCGTTGGTTGATGTGTTACTAGTATCTGTGTTGCTTTTATTGTCCAAAGTGAAGAATGGTTGTCCAAAGTGTCGGCAGCCTTTAATTCAGTGGTTGCGGTTAGTTCTGTCTGTCCTATTTGTTTATCGTAAATTGTCTATTATATAGGCCGTTAGTTTTCTCGTTTCAATTGTTTCATATTTTTTATGTCCGGACCTTTTTACAGCCGACTACACGGTATGGCCGTATGGTTGCCTATAATTGCTTACATCCATATCATTTGAACTTGATAGTTGTCTCAGTTTATATGTAAACTTTGGTACATAAGTCAATCACTAAATAAAAATATAAAATTTATGTTTTAAATCCGTATATACAATGACAATAAGTCTATCGAAAATCGAGCAACAAATGATATGGAATTTGATATCGATATGCAATATATACAAATACAAAAATAGCAGTCTTGTGACCAAAGACACTTCTATAAACAATTGTCTTTGGGATTTTGGGAATGAGATGTATGCAGAGAATCAACTGTCTTTATCTGCAAACCCGATTAAAATCAAGGATTTTGAGAGAGAAAAAAGGGGGCTCTGCAAGCTTACGTTTTGAGTGATACTTGTAAAAATCATATATGAAGCTCCACAAGGGCGTCCGGCCACCTGCCCCATTCCCTGTATCCGCCTATGCAAACAATTAACTAACACAAAAACAAAGTAATAAACTGCATTGGTGATTAAAAAAAAACCAATCATTCCCGGATCTATATGGTAAAAATTTCGGAAAAAGGATAGTTTTCGTGCATTTCGCTATTTCACAGATAGAATATTTCTTGTTTTCGTTCTTAAATTAACCATGTTAACGTAGTGCGCTGTACTTCATAACCAATAAAAAAATATCAAAACAGTTATACGCATCGTCTCGCTAGGCTCCGTAATAATGGTTTGTCTCCTATAAAGACTGGATATAAACCGAATACTAGAAGGTCCATTTCTTCTCAAATCATTACTAGTATTATATATAATGCAGTAGTCGGATGCACCCTGGCATGCATAACATTTGGTTTATATAGCTCTCCTGGTTTTTGTTGATACTAAAATAAAATGATAAAAACAATCTATTTCTCATCATAGAAAGGTTTTTCTTAAAGCACTAAAAATAATACTGTGCAATTTTGCGTCTTTTCCATTGATGAGGTATTTGTCACAGTGGGCGATTGTTTGTCACTATACCTTCATACGATAAAACCACAAATTCGAAGTAATTTTAGAATGAAATATTTGTCACTGAACGTTAAACAACAATTAACCATGTGGGGTTTATTAACTATAAAAAACGACCCTAAGTCGTTTTATTAGCCATATAATTTGGGCTCGTGACCAGCCTACACATGTATAACAATGAAAAATAGAAAAAACAAAAACCTCATTCATGCCCATTTAAAAACCGGCAAAATATATATGTATGGGAAATTAGATATATTATGAATGTTCTACGTTGTATAATTAGGTTTGTGTGGAAAGTTTTATAGCCTTTTTTAACACGACAAAGATAATATTTAAAAATATTTTATATAGTTTCTCAAACTAAGGGTTACGACCCTTCAGCTCAACCCATCACAAGTGGCGACTGCGGTATTTCGGGAGTAAATCAAACAACATGCAATTGGGGACTGCCACGGCCCTATACCAGTACGGGATATGCCCATCCAGCATCAAACTTTTGAGAGTAAAATCCCTGGGAGCTCAGGCTCTTATTTTCGACTTACAACAATTCTTCATACATATTTCACGTGGCCGTCTATAATCGTTCCAATTTCGTATGCCATTCCAAAAACAGTGATGACTGTGTTCTATTTTTACGTAAAACATCAATAACTAGTCAAGCAATCTAAAAACCCATATTATAGTATACGGTATAGTGAAAGTAAACATATACACTTTGGTGCATACGTTAACATAGTTATAATCACTAAAATATAAATAGACATGTTTTTTAAATCAGTACACAAGCAACAAATGATAATTTAATATCGATATGCAATATATACAAATACATGTACAAGAATAGCAGTCTCGTGACCAAAAACACTTCTTAAGATCATTATTAAAAATAGGTAAATGTGGTATGAATTCCGATGAGACAACTTTTCGTTAGAGTTCAAATGACGAAGATAAAAGCTATTATAGATCACGGGGCAGCCTTCAACCATGAGGAAACTCATATCGTATACAGTCAGCTATGAAACATGTGAAAGGCCCCGACATGAAAAATGTGAAAAAATTCAAACGAGAAAATTAACTGCATAATTTATACATGTTATACAATACAGTTTACGAAAAAAACACAAAGATGGTGGTCTTTATTTAAAATTTCGACCAATACGATAATGTGTATAGTTATTTGTATCTTACACATAAACCATATTCATATAAGTTTATGCACTATACAATTAACATTCCTTTCCAGAACTCGTTTACACAGTATTCAATAAGTACACCATTGTACACGACTTGTCTCAGATCGAATAACATAATAGTTCATGGTTAAGTGGGCGACGATCCATTACCTATATTTCTCAAATTTTCACACGAATATGTTAATGCTCCAAGTAACTTTATGAAAGAAAAAAACTCTTTCTTTCTGAATTTGGTGGTTAATGTGGTACGATGAGTAACAATGATGACATCATATATAAGTGTACACTAATTTACATTCAGTTTAAACATACCTTAAATCAATTAAATTTTATAATGTCTAGTCATTTTATCTTCGTTGATAAATTAAGAAACTATTTAGAAACAACGGTTCCAACACTCTCAGACAAAAGTGACTTTATGAGGATTTGTCTATTCTTTTTATACCCTTTGGTTATATAACTCCTAAAGTATTCAAGTATACATTCTTGGCTCGAGATTCTTTCAATTTTGGGGTTTTTAGCGTTTCTGATGATTCAGAAGATAAATCCATAAAAGCTAGCACCTCGTACTGAGGAACAAAATTTATCACCTATTTGATAGTTTCCTTTGTACAGCACTAAATAATAGAAAATGTCTTGATATTCTGATTCCTTCAACATCTCTATGACATAAGTATGAACAATAAAAAAATGATAAACAAGTATGAATAATCATTAAAGCTTAAAACAACTATACCAACCATTCTACGTTCAATATATATGTATCAACCATCCTACAATCGATACGATTGTGTCAGTATTCATACCTTCGAAACACCAACCTGTATCAACCATGTTACAACCTAAATTATCATAAAGTTAATCAAAAATAGTTGATTTAGATGGCATATTTGTATCATCAATCCTACAACTGATACACCTGTACCAACCATTAAACATTTGATTAACCAATAACAGCTTATTGTGTGTCTTTTTATATTGTAATGTTATATACCACTGTTTCAGGTTAGGGTGAAGGTTGACGCCTGTTAAAACCCGCTGCATTTTAATGCACCTGTCCAAAGTCAGGAGCCTGTTTTCCAGTGGTTGTCGTTTGTTGGTGTGGTTCATAAGTGTTTCTCGTTTCTCGTTTTTTTATATAGATTAGACCGTTGGTTTTCCTGTTTGAATTGATTTACACTAGCCTTTTTGGGTCCCTTTATAGCTTGCTGTTCGGTGTGAGCCAAGGCTCCGTGTTAAAGGCCGTACTTTGACCTATAATTGTTTACTTCCTACACATTGTGACTTGGATGGATAGTTGTCTCATTGGCACTTATACCACATCTTCTTATGTATACCTATATATTTCTATACAATGTATTTGATTAATTTGTTTCAGTAATGTAACAATCCTACCATAAGTGAAACATAC